CTGTGTCTTATTTGGCGCAAGATTTTCCAGCACAAAGAAGCATTTTGCCAACATAAAGACCAATAGCCAATAGCTATTCTTGCACTCTTTACGTATTTAAATTGTGCAAATGATACTTGTTTTGTTCATTTAAATGACACATTTAGTATCACTTCAATATAAACTACACCACTTGCTTGATAATCTGCAGAAAATTTATTTTTTTCCCTTGGTATTAATAATGAAATAATGGAGAAAATACAACATGGAAAGCTCTGTAGGATAATAACCTAAAAATAATCTTAATTTTCCCCCCTAAGCTTAAGCCTTGTGTGTGTGTGTGTGTGTGTGTGTGTGTGTGTGTGTGTGTGTGTGTATTGAATTCAGTGTGTATTTGTGTAAACAGGGTGTGAAGAGCAGGCCAGGGATGGGTGTCGCGGTGTGAATTGAACATTTTCGTGTGGCGGAGGAGCTTTAACCTTTTCACCCCACTGAACCCACCAGTGGATCCATCATTCAAATGCAGCCAAACATTCAAACCCACATAAGCTTTTCATTTGAACTTCTAGTCAGGTTCCCCATGACACGACATATGTCATGCTGAATTATGTGTAAATGTGTAGTAAATGATGCACAAGAGATCTATTTGATGTGATGGTAAAGCACCATGGCTTGGAATATTTCACTCAGAGGGAGCATGATAACTGTAGCTTCAAGCTAAAACGTAAATGGCATTGCCAACATTTTTCAAACTTTGAAGCTATTTAAGAGGAATCAAATATTAGAGTGTAAGGTGAAATGAGATGCCAGGAGCCACAGCAGCTGGGCGTGTACCCGTCTATGTGCGTGTATTATATGCCGTGTGCACGTTAATGTGGTATATTTGCGTCTATGTATGTGCAAACATCTTTTTAGGAGAACTTGTGCACGTATGCATGTGTATGTACTGCATATAAATGCTTTTGTGTGTGTCTGTGTGTCAAATCAGCTGCTTCATCCTCATGGTATCATAAAAGATGTTGAAGGACTGTGTCTCAGGGCAGTTGCAGAGAACTCGTATATCTTACCTTTATATGTTTTAGTGTTGATGAATACTTTTCGTCAAGTGATGCATTGGTTTGTTATTGCACGGGCATAAATCACTGTGTTGACCACGTGTTTTTAAAGTAGAGGAAAGAGAAATGGGGAAGAATGAAAGGAAGAGATTTAATTTCCCTCATCTTTTCTCGCACATACCAAAAACATGCAAACATGTACCAATATCATCTTTTAACTGGAACTCGCAAGCATGAACACATTACACCAGGGCTTGCCTCGCTTCATTGGCTCCCAGTCCATTTTAGAATACATTTTAAGATCTTATTGTTTGTTTTTAAGTCACTGAATCGGTTGGCACCTCGCTACATCTCAGACCTCTTACAGGTCCACGGTCACTTAGGTCTACTGACCAACTTTGGCTGGTTGCTCCAAAAACCAGGTTAAAAACCAGGGGCGACCGCGCTTTTTCAGCAGCAGCCCCTAAACTGTGGAATGAGCTACCTCCACAGGTCAAATTGGCCCCGACCCTCGAATGTTTTAAATCCCGTTTTAAAACCCACTTGTATTCCCTGGCTTTTAACCCAGCATGAGAGCTGTGTAGTCTTGTTGTTTTATGTGTTTCTATGTGTTTTATATGAGTTTTTATGTTTTATTTCTTGCTCAGCACTTTGTAAACCTTTGTTTTTTAAATGTGCTATATAAATAAAATGGATTGGATTGGATATGTGGATCTCCATTTTAGAGTTGCAACAAACGATTATTTGTACTATTGATTATTTCCTGAAAATAGTGAAAAATACTAGAGCCCAAACGCTTTGTTAAAGTGAAGAAGAGCTGATTTATGAGCCGATATTTTGATTTTAAGAATGATTTGGATAGTTGTGTATTTCACTTTACACATGATCTGCCAAAATTTCAATGTAGCACATTCATGTAGTTCATCCCTTTACCAGCACTCTTCTAACCAAAGCTACGTGAAACCATTTAACCACCATCTAATCATGCCGTCTAGGACACAGTGAGCTGCTGTTGAATGCATCTAATACAACATGACTCTCTACAACAAGGACTTGCAACTTTGAGATTTTATTTAACTAACGTTATAACTATAACCAGAGTCGTTACGGCTCTGACTACAGCGTTTCACATCTACAACGTCACAAAAAGAGGAGCTACAAGAAGTTGTGTTAGATTCTTGTTCAGCTCACGTTTCTTTACATGTTCGCTCTGGTTTAATCATTTCAGACACGCCGACTACCTGCAGACAGGCGGCTCGCAGATATATTTAGAATACGTCAGAAACTGTAGTTTAAGGGCTCATTAATGTTAGCGCTCCTCCACTGATAAACACCGCATTAGCTTTGTGGCTAATTTAGCAACAGGCAGCTGCTGTAACGTTACGTGATTTTAGAGAATATTTAGAAGTGATGAACTAGGGACAAATGTGGACCGTTTGCTAGAACTGCCACACTGTTTCAAATAAATGTACAGTTACGTCTGTCCAGCAGCGTAGCTTTCAACACCCACTCACCGATCACACAGCCCTCTGCACGTTTCTAAATGCTGCGTCTAAACTCCGGTCAGCTGATTGTTTTCTTCTGTGGTTTTTGTGGTGAGGCAGTGTAGTTAACAGGGGAGCTGCAGCTGGTCGCCCTCTGTTGGGCAAACTATGCAACACCCATGACATGAAGGATCTGACTCTAGGTTTCTTTTTTAATAGTCATATATCTGCTGTTATAAATGGCCGATATATTGGTCGGGCTCTAAAAAATACCCATCATAAGTTCCCAGAGCCCTATGTGTTTTTACTTGAAAAATCACAATTATTAAGTTTTGTTGACTGACTAATCGCTAAATCAACTATTCTTGGTATAACTACCAAAACCACCTCTTGTTTCATCTTCTCCGACATATTGCAGCACTGTAATTGTTTTTTTTTTGCTGTTGTTTGTTTGTTTTTAATTAACAACTTTATTTGAATTTGCAAATCTAACAAAATTATAAAAACAATTATAATAGAACAATAAGTCAAGTACAAGAGCTGACTGCTAGGGGGGGGTGAGGGTCTATATAAAAACTTCAAAAATAACACAAGCTGATATAGTTTTAATTGCCTTTTGCTTTAGAGACCACTGAATTGATGAGGTAATGTTTGAACTCTTTTGAAAAGGCAAAAAAGCAAGGTTTCTTATCTGCGAATTTACATTTATGAATATGAAATTTGGCCATAATAATAAAGAGATTAATCAAGTACACACAAGTGTTTCTTTGTATGTTATTTTCTGTGAAACCAAACTATACATTCTTCCAAAGCAAACTTTCAAAAATATTTTCTGAAATAAAGGCACATAATTTTTTCCAGAAATCTTTTCAAAATAGGACAATTCCAAAACAGTTTTTGGACATCCACCACAGAAACTATTCACCACAATATCTTTCCTAAATCTGTACTTAATATAGTTTTTAGCTGAATAGAATTTATTTATTAATTTAAAGGAAACTTCTTTGATTTTTGCACTGTAATTGTTTTTTTTGTTGTTGTTGTTGTCTCTATGTACTGCTACAGTCATGTCTGTTTGTTAGTGTTTGTTTGTCATCTTTTGTGTTTTTGTCTCTTTTAAAGTATTCATATCCTCTTACTTGATAAATCATATGAATACTCACTTATTTCAAAACCTCCTAAATAAATATTTTCCATAGAGAGTTTTGGAGCCACATGCCAAAATCCATATGGGCTCTGGGGCTGTTTGGTTTATACTGTATGTTTGAGAATGGGCGCTGTTTGCTGTGGCGTATACATTCCTGTGTTCTGCGTAGCTAATGTTCCCAGTCAGATCCCAGTAAACACAGCCGAGGATGACAAACTCTCTTAGACTATCATGTACATTTCGTCATTATAAAAACAAAATGGTTCTTCTGTCATGCCAGATCCCTGCAGACAGATACAGGGGTTTCTTTGCTATGTTGTGAGCTAAATATAGAGTCAATGGGTGTTTGTGCCATCAGACGTGTCACATATGTGATATCTAAATAAAAAACACGTCTGGCTATATGAGCCCATGTGGCAAACATAGCCTCTGTTGTGAGTGTGTTTGTCAACGAAACCACTTCTTTCCCTCCTCTGTGATGCTAAACTGTCATTTTACCATTAGCCTAGTCAAGCAGACTGGTGCTTTTACTTTTCCAGTTTTTTTCACGAGATCGTGTTAATGGCTTAGTAGCTTCTGTTCCGTCCAGTACATTTAGTGTTTTAGGATAATTTATATCCAGCCCCATAATGTTTATCTCCTTTGGAAACAGCATGGTGCTAGTTATAGTAATTAGTCTCCCTTTGCTCTCCACTTTTTGCAAGAGGAGAGGAAGGGTCACTTTGAGATGAATTTTATCAAAGCTGTTTTCCAGAGAGGGAGGGAGGGAGGGAGGCAGCATTTGAAGTAAGACTTAAGGCTGCCGTTGCATTCCCGCTAAAACAAATGCTGTCTCTTTAATCTGCTGTACTGTTAAATTTTGCAGTGGAGTTATGCTAGTGCTGAACATTTGGGAGCCAGCGGGGCTTGTTGAGAGCATGAATAAAAGAGTTCCTGGGGTGGAGTGGTGCAGGATCCTGCTGCGCCAGATTTAGATCTGAAACAGGAGGGAGGAGACAGAGCAATGGAAGAGGGCAAAGAGAGCTGCTGCTAGGACCATCTGTATTGAGTATCAATAGTCATAACATCCTTTTTTACTTTCTGCATTTAGCAAATTGTTCAGGACAACCTGCACGACACAGCTCCAGATTTATTTTCCCTGTTAGTATGTGTAACCAAACCTTCTCTCTCCTTAGGAGACCTGGCCCTCATTCAATAGTTAATGTCATCAGCTGACTATGCCGCGCCAGCTAAGCTATGTGGATGGACTTGTGTGGTAGGGTGTATGATGGCCCTGGTTCTTTGTTCAGCGGGGTCTGCTTTGTGACCTGTCGGCGTGTGTGTTTGTGTGTGTTGATGTTCCAGCTGAACTCTCCGATGAACTCGGTCAGCAGCACGGAGGACATCAAGCCCCCGCTGGGCCTCAACGGCGTGATGAAGGTGCCCGCCCAGCCCTCAGGCACGGTCCTGTCGCTCACCAAACACATCTGTGCCATCTGCGGTGACCGCTCCTCAGGTGAGTGACATCAGACTGTGACGATCACCCACTGAACGGCCGCATGCACTGTCCACACGGGAAGCATTGGGCAACTGCAAACACTGAGGTCAAAATCACTGAATTTAAAGATTTAAAATGAAATGATGTGAGGTTGTTCTAGATTGAAACGGTTCTAAAGAATCATAGGGTTCCCAGTGCCTTCAGGAGTTTTTTCAACCTGCTTGTCTTTTCTCACTGTGGTGTCACAGCTTCATGTAAAAATGGATCATTTAGTACATATGAGTCACAGAACTCGAAAGGATTTTTTGTGACTCATCTGTACAAAATGACTCAAGAGGTCAGTGATGGTTTAAAATTATAAATATGAAATGACAAAACTTAAATTGATTGGAGATGACTATTTAAAAGTGCATGAGTCAAAGCCTAAAAAGCAAGTCCAGGGAATTTTAAGTATAATTTAAGGAAGAATCGTGGGGGAAAGTGAAAATATTTTCTTAATAGCTGGGATTACACAAGACTACATTATTACCAAATAAAAATAAAGTGGGAATGCACTTAAATTAAAAGCTTGTGTTCTGACCACACTGAGAAACCTTCAAAGAAGATCCAAAGATGAACTTTGGTCAGAGAACGGCCCCATGGGCTGCACTCTGGCAGAACTACACACTGCAGCTTTTTGCAGTGGGAGATCTTCCTGGAAGGACAACAGTCAGTGGAATTCCTCACAAATCTGGGCTAAATATCAAGCAGGCCAGAAAGAAGCCAGTCTTGAGAAAATGCATGTGAGGGCAGCTCCATAAAAGCACATGAAAGAAACTGAAATCATGAGGCAAAAAAACTGTTGCAGAAGCGTTGTGTCTGAGGGAAACCAGGCACAGCCCATCACTCTTAGCATCCCTACCATGAAGCATCGTCATGATGTGGGTGGATGTCTGTTGTTTTTGTCCTTTTTTTTTCTTGCAGCGCAGACTGCTTGTAGAAAATGAAGGCTGGAGGCAAATACAGGCAGAGAGGAACCTGTTACAGAAAGAGATAGAGAGCTTGACAGTGAGTTTCCTACAAAAAAAACAGTGCAATTAATACAAATGCTACCACGTATTTTTGAGAACTCATAAATTATATGAACATTTTAAACATTTTGATACCTTTGTGAAGATCAAATTTCAGCCACTTTAATGTCCAAAGGAGCGAAAATGCCAAATAAAGAGCAGCTACATCTGCACTGCTGACGCTAGTCTCATGTTGACATGGCTTTAAATGGCAGCACATTTTTTATTATACATGTAAGTATTTATCTTGTCAATTCTTTTTTCTTCTTGTTGGAGATCCAAAACATTGCCTCATATCAGATTTAAAACTTGGTGAAATTCAATCCAAATTATCAAAGTTCAAATATTCCAGGGGGAAAAATTCCCATTTTTTGGCCTTTCACACAGGGTTCTCTGAAACATTGGCTATCATTTGGTCAAGTGCTAGCCTAACCACTTTAACCACAAGAACATTTAACCACTATCTAACTGTTAGCCCAATGCCATCACACACATAATGTTCTTCTTTGTCTTTTTTTACACAGTCAACAAATAGCCCTGTGTTTAAATGTTTTTCTGGGGATAACCATGAAAAGCTTTCAGCCCAAGGATGATGCTGGATATCTAATTCATTGGACAGTCTTTGTGTTATTCTGCGTCATTGGTGCCACATGGACCCAAGGGGGAAAATCCAAACAATGTTTAATAGCAACAACAATGTTTAATAGCAAGTCAGGCTTCATGTAACTGTGCTCGGAGGCTTAATTTATTTTCTCCAGTGTGCTGACCAGAAACACAGGAGAATGCAAATGGACTTCATCCATCATAAATAACAAAAAAGAGTCATTATGAGAGGTGAAAAGAGATGAGTCGTCCTGTACCAGGACATGATGTGAGAACAGTACCGTAACACAAATCCACGAGGCCCCCCTGCAGCTTGCCTTCAGTAGGCCCCTCTTTGATTCCCCAGTCACCTCAGCATAACCCCCAAACACACATTCTGTTCACTTTAATAGGTCTTTGTTCACGTGATTTCTCTTTTGCTACCTCAGAAGCTGGTTCCTGTATGCTGTTTGTGTGCTTGCATGTCATCTCAAGCTGTAAAGATTTTTGATCTCAGCTCTCTTGCCTGAGACCTGCTTTTAAAGTTGCAGTGCGCCTGCGCCATGATTATGTTGCTTTTCTGGTGGTACACTGGGTTACTACACAGAAACCAAACTGACATTTTCTACTATATATGCATCAGACAAACCATCTCTGTCTCTCTCTTTCCTCAGGTAAACACTACGGGGTATACAGCTGTGAGGGCTGCAAAGGTTTTTTCAAAAGGACGGTGCGCAAAGACCTAACCTACACGTGTCGTGACAACAAGGACTGTGTCATTGATAAGCGCCAGAGGAACCGCTGCCAATACTGCCGCTACCAGAAGTGTTTAGCCATGGGCATGAAGAGAGAAGGTACAGCACATACCGTTGAGGATAAAGTCCGACTTACCCATTCCCTCAAATCTCTACTAATCTACATAGACACATTTAGCCACAGATAAGGTTCCTACTTTAGGAAATGAATGAGCTGTGTAGTGAGTATCATGAATAGAACTCATATTTATGTGACCAGAAACACACAGAATACCTGTATATTTGGAAATGGCATCAGTTTTGGAAAGTATTTTATCAGATCATCCCTTTTAAAATCAGTGCACTTTCTGCCTTTGTGTATTGAGCATAGTATAAAGGACAGGAGAATACAGTAGGGATGCACAGAATGCTCGGCTACCGATATTAATCGACCGAAAATTGCAAAAAAAAAAAAGCACTTTCGGTGTTCGGCCTAATAGGTCTAAAGGAAATTTTATCGAACAATTACGTTTACATGTCGGCAGTGTGGAAGCATTTTAAAGTTTCCGAGAAAGTTTGCAGACACTCTTCTGCTGAACTGTCTCCTATCACATCCACTCCATTTGTGGCTGACTTCTTCGAAAAGGCAACAAACGGTCTGACCCACTTTGAGTGTTTCTGTCACTCGTTTCTGAGAAGGCGATTCAGCTAGCCGCACCTAAATTTGGAGTGCACACATATTCAAGCCTTTATGGTAAATTCACTGAAACAGACCAGTGTGATCTGACAGGCAGGTTAGCGACTTCAGAATGAGAGTCCCAGCTGAAGAGAGGCTGTGAAGTCTTCATGTTGCGTGATATGAGAACCACATACAACATTATTTATCAAATTGGGTCGGACTTGATGAATTTAGCGCGAGGATACATATTCGTCTGGTTTTCAAAATAAGGTTTCTGTACAGGATGGAAATAAGATTAATTGGATTATATTCACAGAAAGTATAAAACATATTACATGTGTCCTTAAAAGTAAATGGACACATGTAATTTACTTTACCGGACCCTTGGCAGCATACTCTGATTTTGGTCTCAAACTGTTGTTGCCTGTGACTCCAGTATGCCAGTATACTCTCTGTGACTATAGGTATATTTATTTAATGGCGTCCACACTAGGTAGCAAAGCTTGCAACATACATATGATTCATAACCTTGGTAATCAGTGCAAAACATGACGCTTCCAAACCCACGACTTAGTCTTCTCTGAAAAAAAATTAATTTGATTTAGTTTGATTGCAGAGTAACAAAGGGCACATGCAGAGCAGCTAAGAGGTGGCATCAAGGTTAGAAGATGTCCCTTTTTGCTTGCTTCCTATTAGTAAAGCCGATTGTCCATTTTCACAACTTGCCATTTTTACAACTTGCTGTGATTCTGCTCTGCTACTGTACATGCTGTGAATTGCAGCCAAAGGCTCTACTGCATTTAAATATAAATATTTCTGCTTGAAGCACTACTTTAGGGGAAATAATACATTCAGCTGTTGCAGCTCCATTATTGATGCACATGGAAACAGAGTGATGGGTTGCAGGGAGTCCTTGGGGAGTTCATTGATGTAGACTGGAGAAATAAAGACATAGCAATGGAGCTGTGTGAACTTCTGCTTCCTTTGCATTGTCTGGATGTCACCGTTGCTGCCAAGCTCTTGTGCTCCTAATTATTTGTATTAACCTTGTATGGGTCAGCCTACCTTGTTATTGTGCACCAGCTTGTTACCACAAACACAAAATATGTTTTATGTGCTTATTTTGCAAGATACTCAACGCACAACATTTAATCAAAGCACTCAATTTGCGCCGTGAAAATGTGCACCACATTCCTCAAATTAGAGGCTACTGATGGAATGCACATACTGCTCCTGCCCTTTTCAAATAGATACAGAGATTTAGTCAGTAGCCACATATGCAGAACATATAGTTGTGGAGGACAGACCGTTAATCAAACTTTCACTCTTAACTCTTAACTTTTTTCCATCCGCATCAGTGCAGCTACAAGTCCTACTACTTTTAGCTTCAACAGTGACTTTACTCTTAAACTTCTGTTTGCAAATTACAGGTAAAGTCAGCGTTTTGTGTTGATGAAAGACTCTTATGTGTGAAGCTCCTACATCAGCCAGTCAGAGAGCACCAGTGAAAGCCAGCTACTGAATTCGTTTTGATGAAATTAGCTTACTTTTCTGCCCAGTTTAGTTAACTTAGCTTAGCAATGTTTGTTAGCATGCTAACCAGAGGCAGACTGTAATAAATGTCACTGAAATATTAATTTAATGGCAGCAAATATACTTGTAGATAGTTATGCTTTGAACTTTTGTTTTGGCCACAGTGTTGCATTGATTTGTACTGCACTTAAGTGCAGACATGTACAAGCGAATCACAAAACCTTTCAACTGAACTTACTGGTCTATATCACCATTGTCCTTGAATGAATCAGTAGAGCTGCATTTAGCAGCAGAGCTAACTTGTGAGTAAAAGCATTGTTGTCAGCTCAAATGTGATTACTTTCTGGTTAAAAGCTTACTGAAAGACTGCAAAAGCCACACAAAGTTAGCATGAAATCATAAGTATGCTGTTAATAGGTGCAGCTATTGGTTGTATAGGCCTGGTTTTGTGCTGAACTGAATGAACCAGCAACCAACTGAACTGAAGATGATCTGAATTAAATGCTGTGCCGTTATATACAATGATGCATTCGCTTACTAATACTGTACATATAGTATAGTGCATTTGAACTGTGATAAGTGAATGAATTACATAGTCAATGATTACAAATCTTAGTCAATCATTATTTCCATCTCTACTCTTCAGGTTTCATTAGGTCTTGTTCATCTGTTGAGGCATTTAGGCATGTGCGCACTCCAGGGTGAGGTTTAAACCACCCTTTTTACTATAGAACCTTAATTAAGCAGAGCAATAATAATAAAAGAGGTACTAAAAAAGAAAATGACATGTCATGAAAACAGGGCACAATGTATAAAGACTGAAGCAGTTTCACACAGACATTTCCTTTTAATGTACAGCATGATTGATTGTGTCCTGTTGATATTCTCTCAATAAGTGGGACTGGCTCTTGAGACCAGCATTGTTGGCTGTATTTGTTTGATACCGCACTTATCGCTTTCCAGTCTTTGAGAGCGACTTGTTAACCTTGAGTTGGCAGACACTGTCTATGATTGTGGGGCAGCGCAGTAAAGCACCTTCGAGGATGGATTACAGAGCTGATAAGACTAGGAAGATTTGGGTTGTGTGAGGAGAGGGGGGAGGGTGGAATCAGGCAGTCAGGTGTGAATTTTAACACTCCATGAGGGTGTTAAAAATATTAGCACTCAGCAGTTGCTGTTAAGCACTCTTTTGCACATTGAACAAATCAATCACTGCCTCTCACCAATGTGGTCGCCACGGTTACAGAATATAGAGTGCATAGATTATACTGAGCGATGTACAGTGTCGCCAGTGGACCTGGAGAGCAAAGATGGTAGCAGGTGTTAACCAGGTGTGTGTGTGTGTGTGTGCAGGTTCATGTGTGTTAGATGTTTAAAGCTGAGTAAACAAGAAGAATACATGTTTTTGGGGTGGGTGGGTGGTGGGGGGGGGTAAATGTGTTTTGGAGGCTATTCTATCCAAGGCCAATTTGTCTTGACCTTTACTTGGCCTCCCCTGCCCTCCCTCTTACTTTTATTTATATCATTGTTGGGCTCTTTACTCCTTTCAAGGATATTATCATTTACTGCCTTTCGCCTCACTCAGAGTGCTGCCTAAGCCTCCCCCCACACCCTGAGGGCTGTGGTAAGAGAACAAGGCAGCAGTAGCCCAAAAGGCTAAGCGAATCTACAGAAAAACAGGATTAAATGAATTTATACTCTCCAAGTCAGGAGAGGAGAGGAGGAGGGGGGGAATAAAGCTAACATGATTTCGGCCCTACTCACCTCTCCCTGACTCCAACACAAGTATTCTACCCTTGGGCTGACCTCCACCACCAGACAGCAGTTCCTCTGAAATGGGGCCCCTTTCCGTCTCCTCCTCTAACATCCTCTGCTCCCCCCCCCCACCAACGAGACCACTGTGATCCAGGAATTGGAATAGAAACCAGAGTAGGGGAAATGTAAGGAGACAGATCATCCTGCAAACCCAGTGTGTGTGTGTGTGTGTGTGTGTGTGTGTGTGTGTGCGTGCGTGCGTGCGTGCATGCGTGCGTGCGTGCGTGCGTGCGTGCGTGCGTGCGTGTGAGAGGCAGGACAGTTTTCCAGGTGTGTATGTAAGCTTGCATGCTGACAGTGAATTTCCAAAAGCCCTTTATCATTCAACACGTTACGTCCAAAACTTTTTATTAATTCATTGTGAGGACAAACTTATAAACAGCCACAGTACTTTTTTCTGTGGTTTCTTGAATTAAGTAAATTGTAGCCTTTTGAAAAGACAAAACACACACACATCCCCACACACACATACACACAGGCATCTTTTCCATTCTCACTTAAGGGTGGAGGTGCGGTTTCTCTTGCCTCAGCCACAGTGAGTCTCGGTGTCTGCTCAGCACACAAACCATTTCCTGTGTCTCCTTGCCAAGCCAATCAGTTAAAAGAACCAATACGGTTTGCTTCAACCAGCTTTTGTACATGACATGGGGAGAAAAAAAAACCTACAAGACAAAGTCTTCATTGATTTGTGTTCAAGGTTTTTATTTAAGCCATTCTGGTGACCATGCACGATGTAAAAGAGCGATGTGCCAGGCGTTATGAATGTGTATAAAAGGAGCCGGCTGTTTGTCATTGAGCGCTGCATGAAAAAAACATCTCTTTGCAAGCTGAAAAAAGTCTTTTCCACTCTGCTGCGTTGTGCATAATGTAGGTCTAAGGTCCTAAATATATTACATCCACACTGTCAAAGCAATTATTGATGATTGAATTGTCTTGGATATGTTTACTAGCATAGTACATACAAGGTCATGCACTATTCACTGGCTTACCGAGACGCACTGACTGAAGCAGGTACTCACACATGCGGGTTCTTGACATGGGTAAGCGGACACACACTCAAGCACGTGAGTGTGAGTGACACTTTGTTCGTAAGTGTGTGTAGATACATACAAGGACCAACAGCCTATTCAGTTTTCTGCTGATGTGTACCAGAGAATGAACAATTTGTTTTCTCAAAATCAGCAAGAATTCAAGCATTTAATCAAAGGGAAGATTCAGTGTTGAAAGCTGCTCAAAACAAAATCAAATCTGCCCTATCAAGTCATTTCATCTCAGATTCATCCAGCATAATTTCTTTTTCTTAGAGCACAAAAATTATCTACCAGTGCGGTTCCCCTTGTTTGAGAATGTTGATCTTGATCTTGGGTAAGGCAGATTGTTGCACTAGAAACAAGAACATGGTTGATTTGAAAAGCGCTGGGATAACCTCACCACACTGGCAGATTGGCAGTCACTTGCAGTCCATTTCAGTTGCTAAGAATTAAAGCTGTTTGCATGAAAAGTTGCTGAATTAAGCTGCATTATTAAATGTCTGGTCACTACAGGGCAGAAGTGATTTAAAAAGGAGCTGATAAAAACACACAGCCCTGACATAGTATTCCCTTTAAAAAATTATAAATGCTAATTTATTAAGCAAACAGTAATCTACTTACATATCAGTAGTCACAGAGCAATATTAGCAATTATTTGGAGTTGTGTTTGTGTCCACCTGATGAAAGTTAAATATTCACTCTTTTTTTAGCTGTTGTGTAATCTCCACCAACTCCTGGGGAAAGCGTCTGGCTTTTTAGCTTCTACATGTTCCACTTTCCTTATCAGCTAGTCCCTAAATTTGTCTGCCATTTGTAGCTGGGCTGGTAACAGACAATTGGTCTATCAGAACTTGCGGCTAATGACGAAAGCGGCAAGAGTGAATCAAAACTGTAAATGTGCTGTAAAACCCCAGCGCTTGAAAGAACCCCGGGGTTGGGGAGGGATGTCACAATACCAGAAATGTATTAGTCGATACCGACACCAGTAACATTCTCGATACCAATTTGATACCATGGTAAAAAATTAAAACAACACAATAAATCCCATGTACTTCAAGATGCACTCTTTTAATAAAAACATTGAACATTACAAAAAAACAACTAACCGCTGTGAAAGTTGTGAGAGGATGTCCAGGAAGTGATTTGATGTCAGTATATTCCTAAATGCAAGCTGTTGAAATTACAACCTGGCACTGATCGTATTTAATTATTAAATTAATTACTTAATTTACTTTAAGTAACTTTTCTTTACAAACTCACAGGTGTGAAATCTTTTAGGGTGTTAACTATCTATATTGGCAGTTGTTTGAGATTTTTATATTGAAAAACCAAAAAGTTATTGACTATTGAAATGGATCGTATTGCACTTTTGAGACGGTCCCTAACACCGCCAACAGTAACAGGCGCGTTTGACAGACATTCAGTTCTTAGCGCTGCAAACTGCATCGTCATGTTTGGCGATTTTCAGGTGATCAAAACTGTGAAACTCAATTTTGCCTTAACTGTGCCTAAATTAGCTCTCCAACTGTGAGAAATCGAGGCTTTGACATGGAGCTATTACAGGTAACAGGCTGGAAACTAACTTCACTCCGGTTTCCATTCTCTTTTCTTTGCGGCGATGCGAGGCAGAGCTGTCGCTTCAGCTTCCACGTGTTGGATCTATGGTAGATTTGGTACCTAGCAAAACGAATACCAACGTCTTTTCTGAATTTTTAGTATCGACTTATCAAACTGAAGTATCGGTTCTCGTGACATCCATAGGGTTGGGTAATAATTGTGAATTGGGTTGTTTGTGAGTCATCTTTCACATTACTAATCATCTTCTGTTTCTTTGTCAACATAAAAACTATTGATTAATGCAGCTTTAATATTTTAAGCAATTGACTTTTGCATTAGAGTCATTTTCCTAGAAAAATAAGCAAGCTTTTGAACCCTGAACTAAAATCTTGCTCAGTAATCAAAACCATGTAAACTTGCAATCCTGAATCTTCCTTTCAAAAAATACATGTGTTGTCGTTGTGACACACGTTGACATTGTAAAAACAACAAAACAAAAAACAGCAGTAGTGACCGGAACCAGTTTTGTTACATGCAGCCGTTCAGGAGGAGCGCCAGCGAGCCAAGGAGAGAAATGAGAACGAGGTGGAGTCCACCAGCTGCGCCAACGAGGACATGCCCGTGGAGAAGATTCTGGAAGCAGAGCAGGCAGTGGAACCCAAAACCGAGACCTACATTGAGACCAACCTTGGTGTGCCATCCAACTCGGTGAGTTGGGATTTTTATACATTCTTTGGCAAACACTCGTACACGTATTTACTGATTTATTGTGGTGTTGCATTTGTCTAAATGGTTACTGTTCTCCATAACCTTAATCTGACTACAAATTAACTGTAAAAATGGATAACTATTTGAACACAGCTTCTCTTTTTGTCTGTGATAATGTTCCATTTTATACACACAATAAAACACTCTGAGGTGTCCTGATGGAGAAAATAACGGTCTCACATTTACATTTTTCCCAGCTTCTCTATCGAATTTTTGCATTACTCATTGTCTAATTAAAATTGTCTGGTAGATTGGAATTGGGACAATGCTGTTTGAAATGCACTTTATGTTTTTTCTTGTTTCCAATAATAAAGCTTTATTAAAGTTGTTTTTGTTGTGGACTCTAAGACTGGCAGTCAGGAAGTTTATCAACACCCTGCTGCTTGTTGGTAAAGATGTTGATGAATTTTTGGGTGTGGTTACTGTTTGTCCTCCCTTTTTTAGTCCCTTTGGGGTGACTGCTTGTAGTCTAGAGCGCTGGTTTACCTGTTCACCTTGCATCAGCAACTACACTCAGCTGTGCTGTTTCCTCATCTATCCCCTCAGTATCAGCTGGGCACTGTGGGCTGTCTTTAACACAGAGGAGACTAAGAGTGATGAATAATGCAACAGGCAGGCTGTTCCTGAAAGCATCCCACAAAGCCTCAGCTTCCTCAGGAATTCTGCTGGAACATGAGAAACAGTGGTGGAGCTGTGCGGCAGCCTACCAGGGGGTGGGGGCAGAGGGTGAGACTGAAGGAGGGAGGAGGAGAGGGAGGGCTTCTTCTGGGATTCATGTGCTTCAGGGGGAAATGTCGTGTGAAGTAAAGGTAGCAATGTGAAGGCTGTTATGTGAGTAAATGGGAGCTATTTTGGGGAGCCAGATGGAAACGTAGGAGATGAGCGCTGACATCGGGGAGAGGGATAAGGAGTGGGTAGTCACAGGGGAGCGGCTGGCAGCTCAGACACACTAATGCACTGACTGTGTCTGGGCTCAGCCATGGTGCGGCCCTCGATGCCCACTGCCTGCATGACACCAAAAAGAGAGAGTTTTTTAAAGGAATGAAAACAGCAATTTTATTGTTTATCATTTTAAAGTGGAATCAAAGTCCGATCATATCATTTTATTATTGTACAAAATTGTACAAATTCCTGTCTCTGTGCAAGTTTACAGTCCTTACAGGACTTCCTAACATGCAACAGCTCTCGTGTGTTTGGAATTGATTCACAACAGAAACTCATAGTATAAACATAAGCAAAGAGGGTGGACGAGTATGCAGCTGAGGTGTCGCCTAATAAGTAGGATCTGAGCCACATCACCCCCTCTCTAACTGTATGAGGACAAGCCACACAAGCACACTAGAAGACAACAACATTCACACAGCAGGAGAAACAAACGCACTGAGGGAGAGAGAGAGCGGTTCCAGGTCCCCGGACTGCCCATGGTCCAGCACAGAGAAGCCTGAGTACAAGAGAGGAAAAAATGAGGAGAGGCTAGGGAGAGAGGCAGGTTGGCTGATTTTAGTACACAGACAAACAAAACCAGCAGAGGGTTAGAGAAATTCAGTTGATATCAAAAAGTTTGCAGCCTCTTGATTGAAGACATTACCATGAACTAAACCTTTATCCAAACCGGAGCCCGGGATGTTGGCAGAGTATCGGCATGCAGGCTATCCTGACCAAAAGGACTCCCCTTTGAGAGGCACTGCCCCGTGCTATAATTGATCACAGGGCCCAGGCCATGAGTGTACACCATGAATAGGCCACCGCCACTGTCTAATGGCTGGGGTCTGGCCAAGCTGAATAAAGTGTGTTTATCTCATGGTGACCTAGAACAGGAGTTAAAGAGGCGTTAGTAATTTGCCTTCAGTCAGACAAGGAGAGTACTTCTCTTAAGTAGGAGGGGAAGAGGAGATGATGTTATCGTTCACTAATACTGGAGGTGTTTTTGTTCTTCCATGTATTTCTCTCCTTCTGCATCTTTCTGTCTTTATATTAATCCTTGATGGCTGTTCTACCAAGGTATCTTTTCTTGAATTCAATGCAGGAAGCATTGCTGTTATGTAGATGATAATTAGCTGATGATTCATCTCCAGCAGATGAGAACAGTTTCTTTTTTCAATCTAAAAAAAAGTGGGACACTTGAGTAATTCTACCCAATTTTCTCTCGGTTGTCACGCTCGTATAGCCTGGTTGAAGCAAAATAATGAAAAATTGAAAGGCAATCGTTCGTCTCCACTCCCCAAGTGATGAAAATTTCATGGGACAGTATGCAAGCCTGGCATTCCTCTATGTTGCTGGGCTGATCGACCACGGCGGTGGAGTGTTCGTGGCTGTAAACCCTTTGATTTCCTGGGAATGAAGACAGTGTTGTTTGTGGCAGGCGTTTAAAAAATCTGTTAAAGCAGCAAAGCTCCAGTAACTAATTTTTGTCTCAAGTTTCCGTTTTTGTCCAAGACTCCTCCCGCTTATTTGCTTCCTGTTTTCAGCTGTGATTTCCACCGTAGAAGAAGCGGAAGTAGCTCTTACGCTTGAGCAGTATGGTATTCCCAGGTGGGCTTTTGTACTTTGGAGGTTAATGTTATTCCCTCACAGGTCACAGTAGGCCACTCCATTGTGGAGCCGATAACATCCTAAATGCTGTTGTCTGACTTGAACAGTGAGTACAGTAATGTGATGCCTGGAGATTGTTGCAGGGAAGTATAAGCTCCTCTCCCCTGTCATCTCCACAGACAGAGGCAAAGAAACCAGGTCAGTGTAAACACGGCTAAGATAGCCATACAACATTCATGAGGCTTGCCATGTTTAACGAGAACCCTGGGACTTGTATTCTTATGAGGAAGGGTGGCTCGACCGGGGCGCACACTGAAGCCCCTTTTTGTTTTTCTTTGTTTTGGCTGGGGCGCCCCTTTGGAATGAATTAGCTGAATCTGTTTATGTGTTTTTGGGAGGAAGTGCAGCTCACGAAAACTGTCGCGCTGAGCTGCGCCGTCCACGTCTCCCACGGAGATCAGATGCTGAAATATTCATAAGATGCCTGTTTTCTTTCTCCCCCTGAAGAAGGGGAAAAAAGGAAGACTTTCGGTTTTCAAAACAGTGTGGGCTTTGTGTCTGGTTTAAGTTGTTATTATCTGTGATACTCTGCAGTCAGTGTGAGTTTCACACCGTAGGGAGGGAACGTGGAGAAAAGGAAGGGAGAGTCTTTGGCCTGCGTATTATAAGAGGAGAATGTGAGTGGAGAGATGTTTTCTCCTTCATCTTGAACTAATCTTCTCTTGAGAGTTGCAGTTGATGTCGGGATCCTCCGAGCTTTTAGCATCGATCAGTGGGATTAAAAGAAAGAAATTGGGGAGAAGTTCTTGTCGGAGTGCGAGTTCACACAGGGATACTTAGAATTTAAGGATGTTTACTTGATTGAAATTTATGCACAGAAGTGTGTGCAGAAAGCCTTTGTTTACACACATACATATCAAGGGTATGTGCTCCTGGGATGATGGTAAATTGCTCGTCAGAGATTGACAGTATTGTTTGGGATTTTTTTCCCCTGCCTAGATGGATTTACATTTTAGTGAGTTTGTCATACTGTATGTGTGTTGCATTAGTATTCCACCATTGTTCATAAACTCCCTGTTGGCCAAAGAATAATGCCTCCCGATCTTATGTATCAGGACAGTTAAGGACAAACAGTCCTTGTCTTTGGACTGGCGATTAAATTCCATCCATCCATCCATCCATCGTCAACCGCTTATCCTGCATACAGGGTCGCGGGGGGCTGGATCCCAGCTGACATTGGGCGAAAGGCGGGGTACACCCTGGACAGGTCGCCAGTCCATCAAAGGGTGATTAAATTGCACATAGAAATTATAATTCAACAGGAAAACTCCTCATGTTCAGCAATGTAGCCATCTGAACGACAGTTTAAATACAGCCAGCTTCTTTAAGATGATACCAGTAATTTGTAGACTCATTATCTTTAGAACTGACATTTCTCAGTACAAGAAAAATAAAGTAAGACACTAAATAAATAAATACAAAAATTTTATTCCAGGCGTATACATTTCTTTTTGCATTTGATGAAACATATGTTCACAGCAACAGTGTATGTACATCATTCTCCGCAAATGAGAATGAACTTACCCTATTTATTTAATACCCAATGTAATAATAATTATTATGTCCATCTCTCAGAGCACTTTCAGCTCTTACGCTCATCTCTCCTGAAGGATTTAGTAGCTCTACAATGAAGTGAAGAAAGGATTGTTGCTTTCTCCTTGGTTCACCTGGACTTTTTATTTCATGGAGGAACTAGTCAGTGTCCCTATTTTAGGCAGTAAATGGACAATGCACAGGTCCATTAGCCTGCGCAGTCTACTACCAAGAACCGCTTGTTTTTGATTCATCAATAGAAATGTTGACCTTAATTGACAACAATTTAAAAATTGTAAAGAAATATAAAAATAGATACACTTTACCCAGCTATGAATGTGTATTAGCTTTGTTAGTGGACTTCTTAAGAGAAGTCACACAGTCAGCATTACACATACACAATCATTCGCTGAGTTTTACAAAGCCCTGCCCATTCTAGTTTATAAAGTACCATTTGAGCTTCTAAGCGCTTCTTATGTTGTGAAGTGTCAGTGGAGTGTCTGGAGGGGCCTCTTGAGCTCCACTAGCTGTCCAAAAGGCTGATTTGTGTGTCGGCTAAAAGGTCCCCAAAGAAAGAGTCTGCTTGGTGAAAGTCGTTTTTTCACCGGCAGCTCTCTGCAGGTATTTCCTCCACTCACTGGGACAGAATCACTGTTTGTTTTGTCTCCCTACTAGCTCCTCTTTAGAGGATATTATTCATAGCTTAGTACTTGTAAGTGTGAATGTGTGTGGTGATAGGTGGCTCAACCTGACGCCAGGCTCTCGGCCAAAAGGGGCACGTAGGCTAAAACAAAAATGTGACACCTTTTCATTTCATGCATAGGATGAATTTCTAACGTCTAGATTTGTGTCTGTCTGTGTCTGTTTCCCTGCAGCCCAACGACCCAGTGACAAATATCTGTCAGGCGGCAGATAAACAGCTCTTTACCCTGGTTGAATGGGCCAAGAGGATCCCCCACTTCTCTGAGCTGCCGCTGGATGACCAGGTCATCCTCCTACGAGCAGGTATGTCAAAAAGGGCTTAAAAACAACGTTCTTAAAAAGCAGACTTAAGTGTTGTGCACAAACCAACCGACCAACAAACAAACAAACAATGACAGTGACTGACAATGATGATGGTTTTATTGCGGAATGAACTTGAATAGACTAATGTGGCCCTAAACATGAATAACGCTCTTGATCATGTGACAGAGAGAGGAGTCAGGCACACCAAGGTCAGAACAACTCATTGTGTGTGGAAAAGCAAGCTAACCGCTCAGGATCACAGAAGCAGCACCATAAAAACACAGACTGAATCATCTGTCACTTCTCTTACATTCACTAACATCACATGCAGGAAGGTCTTTTGGGTTCTCGGTAAAAACACTGCCCTTGTTGCCTGCCTGTCGCTCCAAATTACAACATTGTATTCTCAAACCACCTTGAGGAAAAAAAGCTTTTACAAAGCCATCCCATACCCTGAAAAAGAAATCTTCCCATCATTCCTTATCCTCCTCACATACATTGATGGAGAGACTTCAGCAAAGCAGAGAGAGACATTATTCTGGAGAGCTCGTCTCTCAGGTTTTCTATAAATAACCGCTTTAGTTCTGCTGTATCACAGATAAAAGCATCGCGGCTCCTCTCATACCCAACTCAACTCTGGGGAGAAGAGGCGAGTGTTGCCAGGCAGAACAGTTAAAGGAGCCCTGTCACTCAGAAGGCGGCGTCTTGTGTCTTCTGTGCTCTCTGTGTCAAGCCCCTGCTTTGGCACATCAAGCCTGTTGTCTTTATTATGATGGCAGGCGCAGTTCATCCCTTTTACACGCTTGTCTCCTCAGAAAGCATGATTCAAATGTCTTGGTGATAACCTGATGCCTGTGCTTGAGAAAGCTGCACGCTTTTACTGCGCAGCGTAATTGATTCATTGGAATTCCCCCTTTGTTGTCAGTTTCATTTTTGCTTGAATGCTGTGTGAACTTTTGTACAGGGATTTGCTTGTCCCCCCCCCCACCCCACCCCACCTCATACTTTTCCTCAATCCCTCTCCCCATCTCTGCCGCAGGTTGGAATGAGCTCCTCATTGCATCATTTTCGCACCGTTCGATAACGATTAAAGACGGGATTCTGTTGGCGACCGGGCTGCACGTCCACCGAAACAGCGCCCATAGTGCCGGAGTAGGAGCCATCTTTGACAGGTCATTATTACCATATTAGTAAACTTTCTTGTAATTGTGTTTAAATAAATGTATAAGCAACCACTTTTAATAATATTTTAGCTATCATTTTCTTAACATATTTTGTAAATAGTTGATAACTTGCAGCTAATGGCTTATTAATAAATAATTTTAAGATAAATGTTTTATAGGTCAGTAATAAGCCATTAATGAGGACACCTTGGGTTACCAGATTATAAATTAATCTGCGGCTGGCAACGTAACTTCTTTGGGTTATAATGTAGTTTATTAATAGCTCATTACTGATCCCAAAAATGATTTATCCCTATTATATATTAAACACCACTCAGTCAGAATGTCTTATTAGAAAGTGGTAGAAAGTAATTGTATGCATACTTTAGTTGCAACTAAACGTGTTGCTAATGCTAATAAATATTTATAATACTTAATAAATCAGTAATAAGCCATTAATAATGATGAACTTTATGGTTGCAAAGTTGTGACATTGTCTTCGTGGGTAGCTCAAATGTTGATGCACCTCATTACTGATCTATAAAGCATAAATCCATTATTTATTATCATTATAAACTTACGCACCCTTTATTTACTAAGCTTTAAAAAAAGTGGTGTAATTTTAGGCATACTTACTATATACAAGTTATAATTAAAAGTATTGCTAATACTAATAAATAATTTCTAAAAGTTTTATCAATCAGTAGCCATTAATAACACTAACTTTTTGCTTGCCAAGTTATGAAATATGTTGCCGCTCAAGCATTATTAGTGGCTTATTCCTGATCTACCAAGCATTAGTAAAGCATGTATTTACCACTAATGCTCAGTCCCTCTGGGGGATCCTTAAAGTATTATCTTGTGTTATTTTATCTTTATAAAACCTTAGTTTTAACTTCAAACACCCTTAAATACGTGGTTTAATGTTTTACAGCTTGTGACATTTAGGTTTCTTCCACTGAAATATTACGCCTAGACTGGAAGTAACAAGTGGGCCTCATGACAGGTTATTAGCACAGGAACTATTGATTGACTCCAGAATATTAAAAATGTACACCTGTATCCATAAGCGGTCACACAGAACTGCTCAGAAAATGCCAAAAATAGAAAAACAAAATCCACACACAAGTCACTCACTCACTGACATTGACATTCCAGCTGTTGTCTAACATGAGTCTGCGGTGTCTGTTCAGCTGCCTCACAGCTTGGGCTGAGCTGAGATGCACAATATGGCAAGCTACAAAATATACAAGAACAACAGATATTTACTCTTTTCGGTTTTTATCAACCAATATTATTCGTCAACAATTCTGGGTGATTTATTTTAAAAATGGAAAAAAACTGCAGTTGTAGTGTACGTGCTCCTGAGGAACCAGGGATCAGACAGAGTTGGCAGTTACATGTGTGGTCACCAAACCCATATAAACAGCAGTCTGTCTTCTTTTTCTCTTTCTCTGTGTGTGTGCCCCTCTGATCACCAGCCTCTGTGCTCAGTCATCAGCGTTCACAGCCACAGGACATATTCCATCTCTGTCTGTTAACTGTGGCAAGCATTAGGAGACAGAGAACTGATTATGTTTCTTTATCTACTCCTCTCTCTCTCTTCAGCCATACACATGAAGAGACTGATTAACTTAAACACTTGAGTCTTTTCTTCCCCCTACCTCCCTTTTTTTCTCTTCTTCTTTTTTTTTTTTTTTTTTTTTTTTTAGCCCTGTTGTTCCTCCTCCGAGCAAATTGAATTAGAATGAGCTAAGAGCCGCAATTGACTTTGCTATCCGAGTGAGAGAGGAGGGAAAAACGGAGTGAGAGGGAAAATAAAGAGAGGCTGAGGAGAGGGTGCGACGGAGTCAAAGAGGGGTGAGGAGTTCGAGTGACTCCACGCACCAACACGCCCACCAATGATGTCACACTCAGACAGTGGGAGTGCTGGTGTTAGATTACAGCATGTGTGTTTACTCTGCGGCTTTCCTTTTATGAAAACCATGTACTAAATATAATTACTTTGCAGCGTTATAAACTTTTCCACTGATCTAACTGGGCGTATGTGGGCTGTGAGTGTGCATGTGTATATTGGCTTTTAAATAGATCGGAGCTGCATAGTAGTTAAAACATATTTTTAATGTCGCAGTCTGGATCTGGATAATACACATGTTGCGTAGTGTGTCATTTACAAAAATGTACCAATTAGATTCAGATGGTTCCCTGTGATCTTAACTTCTCTGGCAGTTGTTGTGTGATATAACGCAAAAATAGTGTAATAGCCGAGAAGGATTAAACAAACTTCTGCTTGTGATTTAGAATGAGCCAAATCTCTGACTTTGTTTGTTTTTGTTTTTTTGTCTTTTGTGCAGAGTGCTCACAGAACTGGTGTCAAAGATGAGAGACATGCAGATGGATAAGACAGAACTGGGGTGCCTTCGAGCTATAGTCCTTTTCAACCCAGGTAACTATCACTACTTTGTAAGCTGCCATTTGCTGTGTTGCAGTTGAAGGAAGCTGTGAATTAAGAGTTTCAAAGGTGTGTGTGATTTTTAAAAGAGTATATAAAAAGGTATATACTGTCAGATGTCTTTATACTGTGGTTTCTAGTTACCCTTTTCACCAACACAATCAGCTGACAATCAGAATACAGCACATCAGGGAAATGTCTGAAAGCTGTTGTAAAAAGGGAAAGTGAAAACTAAAACAACGGGCTGTGAGTTTGGGGTTTGTGGTGAGCTACTTTACAGAAAAATAACAGCTTAAAAGGGTTACACCAAGCCACATGTTAAGCATCCTCAACACTATCAACAGATTTCCAATGTGTGATTGTTCTCTCGGAGCAATATTGTATTGTTGAGCATCCTTTATTGAGGTTCAACAACGTTAATGTTCTACTGCTTCAAGCTCTAACCAAGGAAAACAACATTCACCCGACCCTAATTTTGCTAGAATAAAATATGACTTTAAAATGAATTTATAGTATCCAACTCTTTTATCCAGTATGCTTGCCAGATGGCTTGTAAAAGATTTGTGTCTTTACTGATGCAGCCTCAGTGCGGTTACAGTCGATTGCAATGGCATTAAGTTTTCACAGCGGGAAGGAATGGACCATGTTGTCCTATGCAGCATAATACTGATGATACCATGAGACCATATTCTATTTCGATTGTATGTAGTGTGTATACTGTATATATTTGATTTCTAATTTGATTATTGATTCTACTTCTCTTGCATTTTATGCTTTCGTTTGTTGCTGTGCCAATTTGAATTTTCCCTATGGGGGCTCAATAAAGGAACATCTTATCTTAATCCACGGCTCCACTGCCCAGCAGTATTATAGGTATTTTGCAAATATCAAATTGTCACCAAAATGTGGATAAAAACACCACTTCAGGTGAGGCCTTATAGCTTCGATAAGGATGTTAACAGGGCACAGAAGTGATGTATTCAGCCATATGTTTGGGATGTACTGAGCATACAGATGGAGAAGACGATTATGCAGCAGGTAAAAATTAAATAAACAAAACTTGTAACCATTGAGATGCTTTGAAAGTGACTGAATCTATGGTGGTATCAAGAGTGAATGAACTACTAATGTTTCACATTGACCTTTCAAGCAATCTGAAGAGTTTTGATGCTCCTGGGTGGACCGTCACTTTAGGTTTTGACTCTGCTTGACCTCATTCATGTAACTTGAGAATTGGGAACTGGCATTTGACTTGCCCTTATTTTCTTTGAACTTGAACAGCGAGTTTTCTTTAATTGAGGCCCCTCTCTTGCCTAGGCATGTGTCCCTCCCCCTGCTATCAGTGTGCTGTTCTGTATTTGAACCTCATCCACATGGCACAGAAGTATACTAAACCAACCGATGAATGTGACCCAGGTTTTTAATGACTCAGTGTGGGAGCCTCCTTCCCTCCCTCTGGAGCCACTGTGGATTTATCCACCCCAGACACACAGATCCTCTGTGTTCCACATTTTGTTCAGGCCACATCCAGACCTACTGGCCTCGGTACATTTTTCAGCCTGATTCCTTGTTAATTAGGGGTTCACTACACTTGTACGACTGAGAAAGCAAGGGTAGGGGGGGGAGTGGAGAAGGGGACGACGAGGCTAAAAAGGCCCTCAGTCCTTCCTTTCCCACACTGCATAATCGAGTCCAGCCATTAACAACAAATCTTCATTCATTGTTGATCAGTTGTTCAACTCTTTGTTCATCAGAAATGTTAATCAATGACGGGTTTGTGTTGTAAAAGATGAGTCTTTCAGTGAAGCATAAATTAGCGCCGCTTGGAAATTACAGCCCTAATTGGACTAACCCAGAATGTGGTGACCTACGTCCACAACCAGCCTGCGGGGTTAAAACTCAACTTGTAAGTTAGTAAGGCTCTGCTTTCCATTGTAAACTACAGCAAGGCACTCAACTATAATTTACACTGGTTATGTTTTCAGTAACCAAAAGTGACAGCATTTGGTAAGAATGTGAAGAAGAAGAATGCATTCGTGGGGAAACACCTTTCCTGTCTGAATGTATAGACATAAAATCAGCCCCCAATTATGCATGGTTAAGGTTGCTGTTGTTGTTGATTAATAATCTTTATATATGTAATGTCTGTGTGTGTCTCCACAGACTCTAAAGGTCTGTCCAACCCTGGTGAGGTAGAAGCTCTGAGAGAGAAAGTGTATGCGTCTTTAGAGGCCTACTGCAAACAGAAGTACCCCGAGCAGCCTGGCAGGTATGAATACAGACACAGAAATGACTGCACAATCTACAGATAGAGAAATAAAAACATGTATTGAATAAACTCCAATCCACACAAGCCTTCATAAGGTAAAAATCCCTACTGCTGCATACAGTATCCACATAAATAGTCGTTTTCATCAATAGAGTAACTCTAAGTTCACCCTGTCATAAGATGTGATTGATTGATATCTCTCAAGATTTTCTGGATTAATAAATTGCATATCATGTTAATGAGAAAAGGAACAAAAGTTTAAACATTAGCGCAAATCAGTTTGTTACATGTTGTAACCTCGCCATGTTTTCCAGCCAATTAGCTGTTTGGATTGCAGAAAAGGGCCCTCATGCAAGAAAATTTGTATTATTCTAAATCGTCCTTCCTTTTTTTTCCAAGTGGGTTCCAAGTCAGATTCATCAAACTTGTTGTAAATTTCAACATAGGGCCACGTGTTCCGTTCACAAAAGTTACCGAATAGTAAAATAGAGACAGTTTCAAGATGTGCTGCAGTCAGAAATCAGCAGATAAAAATAGAAAACAGATTTCACAGAGTCATATCGAATATCAATATGAATACAGCTGCCAGCTGCGTGTCATCAGAGCAGCACTGTACTGTGACAGAAATATAGTTAGATGCTAATATACACAATACGGTAGGTGAAGGTACAATGTCAACTGTAACTGATCCGTAAAATCCACAGTGACCTGCATAAAGTCCCTGATTGTAGCCTAACAAATGAACTATAAAATATGTCAAAATACAAAATAAAATTCATTAAATTGGTGAGCCAAGATGATATGGTGAATGGGATATAAATTTTACATTAAGTTTATCTTCACCATATATTTAATTTTAGTATGAAATTTAAATTTGTTTAGATTGAGGAATTGTATTTATATTACCTGTGTGGAGAATGGCAGACTGTCTGTACACGACTTGTACGACATGTCTGGACCACTCGTGAATTTTGTTTGCTAAGAGAATATTATATGTACAAGAAAACGCTGAACGGTGTACAGTGAACGCTGCATCTCCTCAGAAATCACTCATACTTGCCATACGAGTTGCTCCTGCACGAGGCCTGATATGTGGCCGCAGCACATTATATTGAATGTGTGGTATCAGCGCTGTTGTTTGTTCTAAGATTGTTTTTCCAATCCCTCCCTCTGCCTGTCTACTGCTATTTTGGTCTTGTGTCTAATTTTGCTCCTGTGTTTTGACAGATTTGCCAAGCTGTTGCTGCGGTTACCAGCGCTGCGCTCCATCGGCCTCAAGTGTCTGGAGCACTTGTTCTTCTTCAAGCTCATCGGCGACACGCCCATCGACACCTTCCTCATGGAGATGCTAGAAGCCCCGCATCAAATGACATAATAGCAGAGGGGGTTGAGCGCTCCTCCCCCTCCCTCGTCCCCCACATCTCCCTCCAACCCTGGATCGGGAGCCGGGTCCTTTTCAAAATCCTGTCTCTAGCAAGGGACCGATCACTTGGCGACTTTGAATGGAGGACCTCTACCCTCCCTTCTCTCCTCGGCTCCCTTCTGATGTGTTTTAAAACAATGAATTCATCATGTCAATGGGTCTGTTTTATACCTTGTAAAAACAAAGGTTATATATATATATAGTCACTTGTGTTTTTGCGTGATTTTCATCATGAAAATCACGCAAAAACACAAGTGACAACAGTGGACTGATATAAGGTTGGACAGAGGACAAAAGAAACGTATTGAGCCATCGTTTTCATCCTTGCTTTTTCTGCACCTTAACAAGAAACAGCAGAGATGATCAGGTTTTAACACCCACAGTTATGCTTGCAGGTATATTTAAAAAATAACGGCGGTGATGTCATATTTGGACACTCAGCGTTGTGATCGGGACAATCGTGGACTTGGAGAGGCTGCGGCTTTCTAGACGTGGACCTGAGCCCTATCTCTCTCTTTCAGGACTGAACTTACTTCGAGGAGGGACTGTGGGGGCACAGTATGTCTGCTTAAAAGGAACTCGTCTGTTCCTGCCTGACTCCACTGAACACGTCAGGTCTTGCACTAGCTAGTTTTTGAAGTGTGAGCTTTCTGGAGTAGAACTCGGTGGTGGGTTGACAAGACTGCAAGTGCTCATAAACCTCAGGTCTCTGCCCAGTCCCAACAAATGCAACCATGTCTTACTCCATTAGCACTGTGCAACATCGGGGAGGATGACACACTAATCGGCCCTTCAGTTAATGTTAATTGATTGACCAGTTGAGTTGGGAGAGCTTGTTATGTACAATCTGTGCAGAGCCTCTGCACGCAGGAAGATGCAGGCTGTTGTAAATTAGCCCTGCGTTTGCGTTATGCTGCAGGATGCTCTGAAAGGCTACCAGCAGGTGCAGGGACTTTTGTCATCCTATATCAAAAATTTGGCCTTTGTCGAAACCTCACAGCAAACTTGGATGGCTGGAAAGTGAGCACACGGTCTCATCTGTGGGGGGAATGTCGTCATTTCGCCGGCCTCTGAGCTCCTTTTTCGTCCCTTCTCCAACCTCTCCACTTCTCATTTCACGTGAATTTCAGCACACCATTTACACCTCCACACTCAGAAATCTCTCTGCTCAGCGCAGCGGGTATTAGCTTTTCGAAACACCTCATATCTACCTGTGCAGAAGGTTACAACCGTATACAGTATTTTAACAGCACCAATGCACAACATGTACCTCTGTTTTCATCCCTCAGACCGTCAGTTCTTAACACTCATCTAACCTTTTACAGTATGCGGGAGAAGTCGCTGCAGCAGAGCCATTATTTGTTTATTTGTTTGTTACTTGGCACTTAACCTCATGACAGCGGAGTCAGGTTCCTAAACTGAGAGCTGATGTTGATGTAATCGACCTCTGAAGTGGAATTTGGCCCAGGCCCAATCAGGAACGCCCCAATTGTTTTCCTCCTCAGAGGGACATACACATTTGCTCTATCTGCACTTCTCTGGACAACAAAGTGTCATTCAAGTCGGACTGAAATGTTAAATATCTGTTGTTGTGTATAAATATGTTTTGTGCCCATATTCTGCTTTTTCCCCCCTTCTTGTCCTTTTCTCTAAATGCTGCAGCTGCTGCAAAACTATGCATCAAGTGCATTTCCAAAGACTGTCCACAGACGGGTGCATGTTAGTATGGCTTAAACAGGTCGGATACATGTTAAAACAAGTGTTTGTGAGGTGTGGGTCCGCCGTAATATTTTCCTGGACTGGAGTAAATCTCTTATTTAGGTTAGTTTCCCCTCTATTCGGATAATTTGGAAGTCATTCTGTACTGGTTTATTCACCATTTACTGCTACACAGAAAACAAACAGCTACCAGCCCTCATGTGAAAGTGTGTAATGGAATAGTGGAGTTATAGCCGAGTTTAAGGACATGTTTAATACTAGCTATTGCCTGTTGTCGTACGATATGACAAAAGGACTAAAAGAGAATTAAATCAAGGATTTTCTCCCTGTATCTGCATATTCGTCACTCTTTCATAAGCACCTTAACATAACCTGGACTTGAAAGAAAAGCAAAAACAAATCCTAACCAGAGCACTGTGTTTTCATTATCCTTTGATAAACTGAGATGGTCAATGGTCTGAGGTGTATGGAGTCTCGTGTACCATGTCAGTAATAATTTTTCAGTGCTTAACTCGTAAAATGTAATAACATGTAATGGATTTGCATTTCAGTTATGCATTGAAAAACTCAAAGTAAAAAAACCCACAAGATTATGATATTTGTCAATAATTCTATTTCCTTATTGATTAATAATTTATTTTTAAAATAGAATTATAATGCAGAGTTTGAAAAGGCTTTTAATTTTGACATCTATGGGTCTCACATATTCTATCTCAAAATTAATTTGTCTCCTGCTTAAACATTTACAGTTTCCATTTTGCGATTGCTTTTATTTAAAGCATCGCTAAAAAAATTAAATGAAGTCTAAATCACGGAGCATTTTATTGCCCAGCTGTTGGCTTCTTATCAGCCCTCTGAGCTCATTTTCTTATTATGTTTTTTCAATTTGTCAACATATTAATTGAGAATAATTAAGTCTGAAAAATGTCTCTAATAGACTGGTTTCTGTGCAACGTCATCACCGAGATGCGCGCGCAACTAGGGGGCAGAAAGCAGCACTCTGTCTTCACGGCATGAGTTTATACGGCATATCTAGCAGCAGTGTTGGGCAGATTACCCAGAAATTGTAATGAGTTACTTTTCACTTATTACTCATTTAAAAAGTGACAGGGAAGCTGTTTAGCAGTGCATTTTAGAAATTAATCCACCTTACTGGAACAATATTAACCTGAGGACACACTGCAGCCTCTCAGACCAGAGGATGCTGCATCTTATTGGCTATGGATATAGGCTATTTAAAAAAACAAACATTTTAATTAATCGCATATTCATAACAGCAGCAATGAGTATGATTTTTACAAAGCAAAACGTTTTTTAGCGCCACTGTCTGAGATTTTTTTTTTAAATCAAGCAAGTGTGGCTAGCAGCTGACTTGAACAACATAAGGTCCGGTTTCCTTGACCTGCCACGCTGTCGCGCATGTTATATTAATATGCGAAATGATACTCAAACAATCAGATCCAACTCTTAAATGGCAGTTTCTTTTTAAGTAAACAAGAATTTACAAACAATGCGTAATCTACGTTGATTACAGTTGTTGACCACAGTCTTCTGACCGGCTACCAAAGCGCTTTCGCCCCCTGGCTGCGTGCGCATCCAGTAGTGTTTGTATATAAGAAACCTGTCTATTATTCTGGTGGCATCATCAGGATTCAATAGAAGTGCTGACACCGATGACACAATGACCATGTTTCAATTTCTCATAACGATTCGGGTCCAGTTTCACAGACGGGGCCTCCACTGAGTAGGGGTAACTTTGCAGAAGAGTTGGTTCAGATGTTCAGCTCTGAAATGTCACATACTACACACTTCAAGCAGGACTAAAACATATACTGTCAGAGTCAGAGAGCAGTTTGGGTAAGACAGAGGGACGGAGGCAGTGGCTGTTTAACAGATGTGAGCTCCCTCTAGTGGAAGAGAAGCAGCGGTGCAACATTACTTGAATTTTTCTAAAAGTATTTAATCAGACAAAAAAAGATGGCACTTTCTCACGGGGTTATTGTCATCAGTGTTCCTCTTGATCTCAGTAAACCCTCAGTGTCTGCGTTTGTTATAACTGAAAAGAAAAGTAGCAATAACTTCAGTATGACCTATTGGCTTGTTGTTTTGTTATTACCGAACAGTTTCATTGAGGTGGCCTGTGTTACTACAAACTATCCAGGTGACAGACAGTATTGACTGCCAGTTCAGCTCAGTTTACAGTATTTATATTCTGGAAACACTTGACTTGTCTGTGAAAACAAAAAAGGACAAGTTTTTTTCAACGCAAGCATTGTGACAAAGAGAAAAATTTTCTTTAAGACCGGGAAAGATTTACTGATTTCTTTTTCTTTCTTTTCTTTTATTAAGAGGAATGTACCTGATTTGAATCAAGAAAAGCCGATATTAAGCAATTAAACGTTTTTTCGACTGGGTGACCCAACTTTAAAATGAATATCCTGCTCCCTTAATTCTGATGTCCCCTCCTCTTAGTTTACTGTGACCGCAGGTATTTTAAGCCATAAAGTGGATGATGTGCGAGCTCACTCCCCTGCAGGAAATGAACTTGACTAGATAAAGAAAGGATCACCCACATAGAATGATTACCTACACAAATGCTTTATAACATAAAGCTATATTTTGTTAATATGTATATGTGTATATATTTATAAATATATATCAGACAGATCAGTTTCTTGAGTATTTCCAACAGTGAAAGAGGGCAATGAGTCTTTCAGACTAAACTGTTTCACACCAGGTGTTCAACTCAAGTTTTATGGTGGCTTTTTTTTTAAAACAAATATCTGGAGTGTTTTTGCATTTGGACCTTGACTTTATAAAAAACAGTCCTGATCAACCAGCAGAATTGCAGCAGCTCTAAACTCAAAATAACCAGCTTCTGTGCAGTTTATGGGACCTCAAAAAAAAACATGAAAGAGGAAAAAAAACCTAAAAAGGCTAAGAGTTTAAACCCTCTGAAATGTATGTGTTGCTTGGCAATTGTATGTTCAAAAAGTGTAATTGGGAAAAGCTGAGCTTGTGACACAATCACTGCTTTCTTTGTTGCATAGCCAGTAAAATGTTCAAGTGAAGACGAAAAAAAAAGACAAAAAAAAACACTTGGAAAAAATATCTATTTTTGTACAAAAGTAATTTTATCCCTTGCTTGTGTACTCCGTTCTTTCCCCTCTCTTCCATGGGCTGTTGTGTACATTGTGGAAAAGCTTATTCAACGAGGCAAGAAATAATTTTCAGATTGAAAATTTAACTGAGTAGGTGGGCTTTGGCGCCTTGGTAACTGTGTCGCCTTTACTTTGCCATTTTCAACCTGTCTCTGCAAGATGGGAATGTCTTCTTTCATTATATTTTTGTCTATTTTTAAAGGAGATGGAATTTTGTCATCTGTTCTTTGTGGGTTGTTCTCTGATGTTCTATCTTTCATGGACAGAAAAAAAAGATTATTAAAAAAAAAAACAACCTTAAAAGTGCTCTTGACTGGTGCCAGTTGATTCTGTGTTTACATTAAGAGGCATTAAAAACACTCAACACCTCGTTTACTCATGACTCCGTTACGTGAAACATACAAAAACTGGTTTTATTAAGTCGCAGGTTATAGCTGTCAGATGCAAACATATATTCCACAAAATCCAGGTCAACTACAGAGGACAGATGCTGCCGGCTTCGTGTGCAGAACTACAGTAAGAGCAAAAGCAGAAGAGAACATAATATAAAATAATCAAATCACAATACTTGTAAATTTGTACGTACAAATCCCAGAACATAAAACTGCATTTGGCCACTGCCGTAAACTGTAAAATATTAAAATGAGACATTTTTAACAGGAGAAGGACTTCATTCAGAGCTCCAACAAGACTGTAAAAATAATTATTAAGATTTTTTGTAACTGTCAAACTATTATGTGACATCATGCACCACATTGTCTTGAGGCATTTTTATTTTTTTTTACCTTGCTCACGTACTTCCCAACACTAACTTTGAATACTGGTATGTTGCCCTAATAATCGTCACAGAACTTACAAAATTGGAAAAATGTCTCGTTAGGCACACAGCGCTTACATGAGATCTGAACACAACACTAACAGTGGTGCCACTTGAATAAATAACTAACAAATGGATACTTAGATTTTTATTTACCTAAAGCTAGATGTCAAAGTCACCTCCCCACTTTGAAGTCATTTAGACGCTACTACACAATTACACAGACAAATTAAAAATGCAAAAGAAGTAATAGAGAGGCCAAATAACCATTACATTTATTGTACAAGACCAGAGTTGGTATGAAGCAGTGACAAGGTTAACGCAGTGTAAAAAGTACTGAAGCACCAGAACTGAATCTCAACATGAAGTAAAACAAAAAAGTCACCAACTTCCCCGTGGAGACAACAAAATCTGGCACGATAACAAACTGGTGGCTTATCTCAGATGTGAGAAGGGTGAACACGTCCGCTGCAGGCGCGACGCAGTTTTCGGCTGATGGGTCTTCATTTGGTTCTCCTCGCTGAATTTCATTACCTGAAAGCCCGCTGCATCCCGCAGGAGCTCTCTTTTAGAAAACAAGTCCTCTTTTCTTACAACAAAATGTAGAAAATTAAAAAGAAAAAGTATTTTTTTTTTTTTTAAAAGAGAGAAATATGAATGGCCCAAAAAAATCCAAACAAGGCTTTAGCAGTCGCTTTTCCATAGCTTGATGGTTTTGTCGTTTTCTAAAGCCGCAGATGCGATGATGTTCTCTGTCGGGTGGCAGGCGGTCGAAATAACGACATCTGGAAAAAAGGAGACGAAAAGGAAAACTGAAAGGGTGTCTTTATAAACATCACACTTGAATTTTGTCTCATCTCCTTCAGAATTACATAGATGACCCAGTGGTCACTAAAAGACAGCAGACGCTGCGTTGGGGGCAAAGTGTCTGATTTTCATCCTGTTAAAACTAAGATGCAGTGTCTCCTGTACCTGTGTGGCCCTGGAGCTTCTGCACGATCTCCTTTGTCTGCAGGTTCCAGATATAAACCATGTTGTCCTCGGAGCCCGACACGATCCACTGCAAGAGAGCAGCCAGTAAGCATCAGCTGCGAGTTACATTTAGCTGCATGCGTCAATTAGTTCAAAAGCGGACAATAGGAATATACAAAAACTGAAGACAAAGACATCCTGCGTGTTACATTTACAGATCAGCTGCGCACACACACACACACACACACACACACAGAGAGTACTTACCTTTCCACCGGTGACAGAGAAATTTGCAAAAATGCAGTACTTCTCGTTTTTATGGCCGGTGTAGGTTTTCAAGCACTGAAATGTTGAGAGAACAACAAAGAGTGAATGATCTGTATGACATGGTCATAAATTTTACCATCAGCAGCAGGTATATTCAAGTATTTAATAGTAAACAAATACAATTTTGTTGTCCCCTAATGCATCTTGACACGTCTAAAAAGATAAACATATCAAACACCATCATCAGGAATAAGATTCCAGTTGTGTCTTAATATGTTGAACTACATGTAAAGATGAAAGTAGTTACCGTTAGTTTACATTCTTCTAATATAAAACACTGATAAAAAAAAATATGGAGCAAACAATCCAAGGATGAATTTTGGAATAAAAGAACAACATAATTCAAAACCAGAGGAGCTTACCTTTCCTTTGCTGTAGTCCCACAGCTTCAGCGTGCTGAAAAGCAAACACAAAGAAACAGCAGAATCTGTTAAACTACTAACATCAACAATGTAAACCCAAGAATCTTGTAATCACTTTCATCTCATTTATATTCTGTTCACATAAAACTGCAGCTGAGGGAAAGCTTATCGTAGCGTTACACTGCCCTCTGCTGGCGAAAATCATGCAAAAAGGCGGATAAACATCATCATGACCAACTTCTAACTAAAAAGGAGCACTGAATGCGCTCTACTGCGGGTACGTAATACTCACTTATCCAGTGTAGCAGCCAGGATGTATTTCCCATTGGGGGAAAACTTCACGAATGACACAGGAGGGTTGTCATCATCTAACAGCAACACAACAACAGGAGCACCATCAGCACACAAACATGGGGTAAAAAATATCTAAATGCCTAATACAGCGTTTTCAGGCACAATTCAACCACCTTGACTGTTTCCGCACATTATAGGAGACCTCAAATTCAGACACAGCTAATTATAACTTGACTTTTCTGTAATAATAATAATATTAGTCACAGGGGTTGAACACAGCCTGAAAGCACTGCACACAACTGAGTAATCTTACCTATGAGTGTCTTTAAACACTGCCCTGATGCGGTGTCCCAGATTCGGCTGGAAATGTAAACACAAACAATTGTTATTTAATTAGGAGTTATTAAGTCATTTGTTGCTTGGTAACCAAAGACTTCACATCAAATGTGTACCGTGAGGAGTGTTGTCAGGCAAGCTTGTTGTTTTAAACGGCACTCAAGATAACTGAACTGTGTCTGGAGTCACAACAGCTGTCAGAGACGCAGACAGCAGAAGGCTTATTCATTTTCTATTACGATTTTAATGAAGCTAATAGCGTTGTAATTTGTCTTCATGTGGTGTTTTGAAGAGATACTAGATATGACAACAAATGGAAATGAACACAATTGTTATTTCATTTTAGCAGAGAGGATTTTTAACACACGTTTCCAAATGGCATGTTCGTGCATTTTTCAGTCATGTCTGTCTGGCTGCTCTAGACCTCTTCAGCTCAGCGGAATAAAGCCACCTTTTACGCAAACTGACAATCATAAATCTCTGCTACCTAATTGGTCAACGTCAACGGAAGCCAATCACAAATGGGCACAAATAGCAAGGTCCACAGTGAGCGAGGTACTCTCGAATACAGAAACATAGCGAGCACAGCATTTTAGAATACTGCATTAACAGTACTAATTAGCATTTCTGCATATATAAATATGACAATATGATGGGAATATGGAGTTGTTAAATTACACCTGCAAAAATAATCTCTCATCTCGCAGGATCAGTGTGCTACTATTTGTCAGTGTATTATAGTTTGATATACACGGTGTACACTTATACTCATAGGACATTTCTATTAACAATCCATCCTACGCATTTTTATTAGGGGTGCACGATATTGACAAATTGTGATATTGCAATAACAATGTTGTTGATGGGCCCTGTTTCTGATATGTTTTCCCTTCGAGCCGCACTTCCTGTTCTTTCACTCCCCTGACTCGCTTCAGTTTTCGTTTTTTTCCCCCCCATTTCTCTTTCTCTTTAATATGCTCCATTGTGTTTGTTTTGTGTAGTGGACTTCTTTGCTCACACTTTCATATGGTGGGTTAACTGGCCACTGAAACATGATGATTATATCAAGTGGGCTCTAAATGGAACTCAACTAACCCTCACAGCAAACAGACGCATCTATCCACACAACAAGCGGAATATTGCATACTGTTCGCAACATTTTCGATATGATATTGCGCAACGTGATACTGTGATAATGATATTGAGTCAATATATTGTTGTGCACCCCTAATTTTTATTGAAGCAGAAATGAGGCATCAAGTCATATCTTTACAAAATAAAACCAAGAAAATCTAATGGTACATAATTGCTTGCTGTATTACAAACACAAATAAGACCCATTAGGGATTAACTGACTGAGTTGTAACCTGCTGAGGAACACAGTTTGACATTTTCCACTGGCACTTATAAAAATGTGCTATAACTGAGGGCAAAGATAGGGGGTAGTGGGAGGGGGTTTAATAATGTAGTTTGTTCTCACCAAAGGCCATCATAGCTACTGGACACGATCAGGGAGCCGTCTCTGTTGAAATGAACCTGCAAGCCGAGACAGATCATCACATTACTGGCACTGTGTTCATCTCAAGTCTAGAGGGTTCCCCTATTGTTAAGAAAATTTATAAAAACTTACAGCCGAGACAGGGTCAGAATGAGCCGGCAAAGTTTTCAAACATTTCCCGGTCTTCACATCCCATATCCTTACACTCTCATCAAACTGAAAGTACACACACACAAAAAAAACAATCACAACAAGCCACACAGAGACATGTTTATGATGCTCGACATGAGTGCTACAGCGAGGGTCAAGCATCCGTTTCACGCCAAAAGCTTCGTACTCACCGATCCCGACACGATAAGGTTGGACTGGGGGTTGAAGTTGCAGCAGAAGACATAGTTGCTGTGACCTTTTAGAGTTTTTAAGCATTTTCCCTGGATAAAAAAAAAAAAGAAAAAAAAAAAGACATTAAGAGTTGAAAGATCACACATTGGATGTATGACGCTACAAGACACAACGTCCACCTCGGCAATCACATTCTACTGTTTGTTTGTAGTGCGTGTTCAGTTAAGCATTACTGTGAAGCCCCCAGTATGACAGCGTGGGATTAAAGCATGATGATCTACTGCCAGTAATTCAATAACTCAAATCGATTAAGTAACATAGTTAATGCGTAGTTAATTCTAAGTGAGAAAACTATTTTTTTTATAATGTGGATGACCAGACCCTTTAAAGTCACACAAGCCAAAATGAGTGGCGCAATCGTCTGAGTTTGTCCGCCGTCTTACCGAGCTGACATCCCATATCTTCAGGGTTTTGTCATCAGATGCAGACACTAGGAGGTTGGAGTCAGAGGACCAGGCCACGTCAGATATGCCCTGCAGATTCAAGGGGAATAATTAGGAACACACTGCTTTAGGCTCCGATTAGGACGGCACGGGTGGAAAAGCAAATACTGAAATCATGGCTCACTCCAAATCTGTTGTGACAACCAGTCATCTGCAATAGCATTTTTTGATTCTCACACTAAAGGGTGCTACAACTACTTCAGACAGGTAGGGGAAAAAAATGTAGGCCATATACAATTCCATCTTTTCAAAACATCACCAAAGGACAGAAACACAGCAGCAGTAAAGATCTGCTGAACTCACAAGCTTGTGTCCGGATATGGTTTTCTCAAACTTGCCGTCATATGCTCCCCAGATTTTGATGAGTTTATCTGCAGCTGCAAAGACAAAATAAATATGCATTCAGAGTTGCAGCAGCCTCCATAAATCCAGGATCACTACTGTAATATAATTTATGGTAGAGCTGCAACGTTTAGCTGATTAACCGGCTGGTCGAAGAAACAGAATTGGAAATTGATTTCATTGGATCATTTTTCCAAGCAAAAAGGCCAAACATCCTCTGCATCCAGCCTCTAAAATGTGACGATTTGCTGATTTTGTTTGGTCATATATGACAGTAAATCAAATATCTTAAGGTTTTGGACCATGAGTCAGCCAAAACAAGCATACTGAAGAATTGTGAACGGCCTTTTTTTCACTGTTTTTCCACATTTCATAGACTGAGATCGAGGAAATAATTGGCAGATTAAATGGATAATGAAAATGAGCATTAGTTGCAGGTCTTATGTACCCATGTGTGGTTTAAAGGAAACATGACAGAGAAAAAAAAAAAGGACTCACAAGAGCTGGCGAGCCATTCTCCGCTCGGGCTGAATTTGACAGAGGAGACAGCTTTAGTGTGGCCGGCTAATGTGAATTTCAGGCTGTAGTTTGGCTTGGCAGGTGCAGACTGTAGATGTAAAAAAAAAAGAAAAACAAACAAAACAGCATTTTCTTATCCCTGCCAACAATTAGGTACCAATAAGTAAAGTTTCAACAGAACGGCACTACAAATATTTAAGGCGCCCAAACCTTGCTTTGACTGGCAGATGCTGATGATGCGACTGGAGGTTTCGTGTCAGTCTCGGGTTTCTTATCTTCTGTTGCCATGATGAGGAAATGAGCATCTATTGAGCACGATCCTGACGCAGAGAAGAAACAGACATGTGAATTAAAGTGCTGTTACATTCACAGGCAGCCTAAGGGGATTAAACGTGCAGCGTTATTCAAATGACAAACGGCGTCAGGTTTTAAAGGTGTGCATTAAAAAGGGGGACAGTGTCACAAGGCAACACACTGCCATACATTAATATAAGTACAAAATGTTATTATTGGCACTCTATAATGACTAAAACTGATTTCACCAAGGGATACATGCATCATATAATTGAAGTGATTGCTGATAATACCATATAGGCTGTTTAATTGACATTAGTGCTCGTCATTAACAGTAAACTGGCTTTCATGTTGGGGAGACATTCTACAGCCATGCAACCACTGGGAATGATACTCAGTTGTCAGTAAAACCTCTGATTAAATATACGGACTCTGGTTGCAGTTTAACCCCCCTGGTGTTTTAACGGGACTGTGTGGCTGCTTTCACAATCACCTGTACATTTAGCTATTTCAGCTAGCAATTAGCAAGCTAACGACATCTGGCGCTGTTAAGGTCAAAAGGGAGTGAACAGAAACAGTATTTACAGTCAGCTAAGAGAATAAGACAAAGTTGGTGTTCATTAACGTGTAAGTATGTTAACGTTAATTCGGACTTAAATGTGCAATAAATGTGGAAAAAGGACAAACAAAGGGGCCTTCGCTGAGAAGTTCAGCTCTGCTACAATTGTTAACTGTAACGTTAGATATTTATTGTTTTCAACATTTAGGATTTGAAACCCGAGAGAAGAGAGATAACGACTCATTTGTAAAGCCGCTGGTTTTAAACGAGAGCTAACGGCAGTCTGATCGTGAAGCTAGCCGTCCGCTTTCAACGCACTGATGCTGTTGACAAATTCGGCTGAGCTGCCACGGAGGGGCCCTCATTCAAACAATGAGGAAACAGCCGTTAGCCGATACTCACGGGGATTTAATGCAGCTCCGCGGTCAGGTTGGGGCTCCTCGTAAGGACTGGAAACAGAAATGCACGTATATTTATTCAGACGATCATGGAGAAAGGATAAATCAAATGGCTAGGTCCTGGATGTTTGCCTGCGAGGAGAAGCGGGGAATGTGGTGCGGTGGAGATCCTCTGCGCATGCGTGTCACCGTCAGAAGTAACGGAAACTAACGAGGGACAAAAGCGGTCAAAGGCACATAAACAAATTTTGTCACTTGGTCTCTGTATGGTTTTCAGAATCAGAATCAAGTTTTTGACAAGTATTTTTTACATACATACAATATATTTGCTTTGGTGTCTCAGTGCGTAGCAATAGTCATAAACCGATATAAATATTAAAATGTGAAATAAACAAGATATCCAAGTTTTAAAAGAATAATAGAGATTATGTGTGAAATGACAGTTATTTACACGTCTTTACTAGATCTCCATCTTACCCTGCTGGAAATGTGTATTTTAATCTCATTTATGCCATTTTTGTATGTGTACTTTAAAAGCACTATATCTAGAAGACTTTTTCAGGTCGGTCAATTTGAACAATTTGATAGAAGCTGCAGATGTTCAATCTTGGCAAATTGTGGCATATTTGTAAATTAAGTTCATATTGATTAATGTGCACTGTCACTGATAAATAACTACTACCCCCAACTGACAGTGATAAAGTGTGGGTTTGTGGGCTGTTTGCCCTGAAGACATGATTATATTTTTTTGAGACTATTAACGGTCCGGCTCAGTGGTTTCTGTCGTTATCAACATTTGAGCACCTCGGGGAAGTTAGATAAATGTACAAAAAAAGCAAGCAAATATGCTTTGGACACTTCAACATTAAGGTCAAGGACGCAATGGGCTGAAATTTCGAAGTGAAGACAGGTTCCCTTTTTGTCACCATCCAAGTGAATCAGGGAAGATCTAGAGTTTGAACTGGTTAAGAATAGTTGTAGAATGTGTTGGGTACCAGCACGTGTGGGGTTAAAGGGTACTGAATGACAGAATATGATCTGCAGACAGGGTCAGGGTTAGCTAAAACATCACTAAATGTGAGGCATATAATTGGCATTTCATTTGGAAAAGGGGAAGGGAAACTTATTAAAAAAGAAAATACCAGAACTTTGGCAGGAAAACTGGGACGAGGACAGTAAAGGCAGAACACACTATAAAGTGCAAAAGACAGAGCACAGAGAAGGGAGGCGGTAGATAGTATCTAAACAAATGTTTGATCACACTGATTTAAATAAAACACTGTTTCTACTGGGAAAAGCAAATTCACAAGTATATGTGAACGGTAATAGTGGAAAATGCTGAACATGTAAAATTGCACTGTGTCAAATACGTAGTTTGCAGCACAGGGTGAGAGAGGACAGGATTTGAAAGGCATATTAGGAAACTCAGGGATGGTTAATAGGTTTCTAAATGAATACTGGATTGTTTAATGGAATATAGTTGTTGATTCTTGTTTATTTTGTTTTTTATGTTTGTTTATTATTTTTTGTTGTCATTCCAGACTAATGTTCTACATATTCCGGTACGGTAGGTGGCGCTATGCACCTAAAGCTTGTGTGCAATCCACCGCATAGCGCACAGAAGAAGAGACGGGAGGCGAGCGTTTCACATGCAGCAGGTTTGTTTCGTCAAGCAAGTTCTCAGTATCAAAGTTAGTGGAAGTGTGGATTGAGCTGCGCTTTCTGGTTGGGTTTCTGTGCGGGGCGTAGGCTCTTGTGAAGTTGAGAAGTCCCTGAACTCTCATCGCAACTTCTTAAGAAAACGAGTTAGTACTTCAGTAGCTTATTCTGTGTGTTTTTTACCCGTGACTCTCCCGTCATCCCGTGCGCAACAAGAACATTATTTACGTTGCCGTTATCTGAAGATAACAGCTAACTTATGTTAGCTGGGAGGTAACGTTAGCGCCTTCATGGATAAATAACGTTTAACGTTGTTCCGAAACTTGATTTCAAAACAAATGACAATTTTATGCAAAAAAAATAAGGAATTGTGAAACTTATTTATGCTAACGAGTATTATTTATTTTGTAAGCTAAGTAACTTAAAGCTAACGACACACCAGCGTTGACGTTAACTTACTTGTACGTTAACTTGCCTTCCCACAATATAACGTTCACATTTGCTAGTTTCTTGCGATAGATACTGTAGTTTTAAAAACGTAAACAAGCTAATTATTTGCTATTTGTGCCCTGCGTCAAGTTAGCCTGTATGGTAAATTAACGTGTCGCCAGTGAAGTGATTTCATGAGCTTAAAGCCAGTAACGTTAACGTGAGGTTTATTTGTTGATATAGACTGTAACGTTAGGTTAACCATACCAGCACAACTAACGTTAACGTTACACAGTTTGTATATCTTATTGACTTTTGGCCACTTTTTTGTCTTATTTCTCTTCCAAAGTGAGAACGGAAAACCCCAGAATTACATTTCATACTACTGTTTTTTTTTTTCTCTAATCCACTAACGTTACTAAAGTGCGTATAAAGAGTCACATTAAAATCAGTTTTCGTTATCCCAAAGACTCCCAAGTTAGTGAAAGCTGTCATAACAATATGTCATTAAAATAACAATAAAACAAGTAACGTTAACTTAAAACAAACATTTCAGTCACCACTGACGCATGCACTCCTCAGCTTGTCCAAAAAATCACTAGAAACAACATGTAGCTCAGTATCATAGCTGCAAAAGCAGAGAACCACCAGGAAGACTCATTAATGTGATCTCTGTTCATGAACATAATTTCTATTTAAATTGTTTGCTACATCCCAAGGTAAAGATGCCTTTTAGTATATAGTGTGTTTTGGGGGTTTTGTGCATGTCTAAATGTGTGTATTCTGCTGTGACCTTCTGTTGAAGAGGGCCTTTCTCCACCAATCCGGTGTTGCATCCAAATTTGAAATTAAATCGGCCATAGTTGTGGTAGGCTACATCGTCTAGTAGAGGGACTATAGAAATCATCTTTGACCTATAAGGCTGATCAATTAATCTAAATCATATTGAAATCGCAATGTTGCCTACTGCAGTTTTCAAAACTCAGGAGGTCCCATATTTAAAGTTAAAGGCAAAATGTGGGTCAAAAACATTTTAAATTGAATATTGTCGTGCTGCAGAGATATCCTGGCCTACGCATCATATTCTACAGACTTAAGAAAACATCTTTGTGTGGTACAAATCCTTGCAAAAATCACACCATAGTCGTCTAAATGTTTTTCTGTGAAAATGAGAATAATTGTGTAAAAATGATCAATCCCTCCAATATCGCAAATCCTATCGCAACTGCAATATCAGTCAAAATAATGTCAATCAGATGTTTTTTCAAAATTGTTCAGCCCTAGTCACTCACTCATATCATGTTTTTATGACTTCAGATCACATTGTCTGGTATGAAAACTATGATTGAAGTGGGCTCGTGTTCCCTCAGAGGCTTTGTTGAGCTGACAGACAGTAGCTACAGTATTCACAGAAGATAACAGCAACCAATTGAGATTATGTTCATCTGTTGAAGACCAGTCGCTTCCAGCTGCCATCATGTCAGCAGACCGCGACCCGAATCCTCCACAGCTTATGAATCCTCCGCCTCCTGAGGTGACCAACCCCAACAAGCCAGGCCGGAGGACTAACCAGCTGCAGTTTATGCAGAATGTAGTGATCAAATCCCTCTGGCGGCACCAGTTCGCCTGGCCTTTTTACCAGCCTGTTGATGCAGTTGCCCTTGGACTATCAGTGAGTAGTTCGTAAATGTTCTTGAAACTTTTAAAGGTGCTTCCAATCCAACATTTACCACATAAAAATAATGTATTCTTTATGTATGTACTCAAAAACAAATGAATCATTTTTTAAAGTTAATTTTATGACAGGCAGGTTTTGTAATGTTAAGTACTTGTTAGCAATTTATAATGTAGTTAACCACATGATCTGATTTTGTCAAAAACACATCATAAAATAAATCCTGAACACTCACACACAGCTGCTGCAGCCATAGTAGCTTGGGGAAGTTGGAAATTGGCTCTTTGTAATATGGCTTTTACTAAACACAATAAATAGGTGTGTATTTTCTTCCTTTTTGTCTAAAAAGTCACATTTGTTTGTCTTGCCTTGTGGGGAAGCGTCTGCTTTTCTCTTTTCTTTCACTGAAGTAACTGTTTCTGAATCCTTAAATTTCCACTGTTTTTGTCATTCTGTCACTGCAGCTGTTGATTTTATTAAGTTTTTTTTCACAGTCTTTTCTTTCTCCCTTGCGCTGCCAAGCAAATAGCTTCTCTTTGCTCTGATGCTATTTGGACGTATTTAAATTAGGTAATCTCGTAATCTGCATACATTTTGCTCTCTTTTCATGCAAATTAGCCTCATCACAAAAAAAAGTCCGGTTCACCATTACCAACGCTAATAGCCACACACAGAGTGAAATTATTAGTGTCTTCAGAGAGTTGGTTGTAACTGAAGCTCATTTATAAGGGGTGTCACACACCCAGCACATCACAGTACATCATAGGAGCACAGATGGCACAGACAGTCCAATACCTGATATACATCACGAGGGAATGAAAGTGAAAAAAACAAACATTAAACCTACTGCTGTGAGAAACAGAGGCGATGGTAACACACTGTACCAATCCAGCAGAGAGCAGAGGAGAGAAAACGGTGTGCACCCAGACACATGAGGGGGAGCGTACAGTTAAAGCATCATAAATAACAATCACTCTGACCATTCTTTGTGAAGTCGCCCCTCAGTCTCAGTCTCATCCGATATTTACAGCTTATTAATTAATCATAACAAATAACCCTTTAGCATTTTTTGAAATCAGGCTTTAGTAAATTGTATAGCGCCAACGTTAATAATTGAGAACTATAAATCGAATGAAGAAAAGTAAAAAGATATAAAATATATTACAAGACACTTAAATAAAAGCAATAAAAAGCTTTCTTCTATATTACTGCATTTGTTAGTCAGTACTTAAGGACTTAATCATTTGAAGTAAGTGTTTCTGGAATGTAACTAATTTGCATAAATAATAAAATGGTTAATTCGAAGTTGAATTTCTCTGTTAGAAAGTGTGAGCTATCTCAGAACCTGGCCAAAATAAACCAAAGCTGTCTGCATGGCTAGATGCCTTGTGAAAGAATAATTCCAGTTTATTACAACTGAACAAAACATTACAAATAACCACATTATTTACATAGATTTGGCTATCATTTGTATTGGTTATGATAATAATGTAGTCACAGAAGTAATTGCTGAGTACAGACGGGGTTAGAAACGCTAGTGGTCAAACGATCAGGCAGGTTGTAAACAAGCCAACATGTTAGCCAGATTATCTGGCACCTTGTATGGGGGTAAAGCTGAAAGTGAGCATAACAATCCCTCATTGCACAGGAAAATTGTGTGTATGGACATGTACAGTACATTAACAGACAGTTTGGTTATACTTTGTGTGTTTCAAGTAAACATGGCTGACCACTTTACAACTGGTGGGATTGAGGGAGTGCTTGGGTTTCTTGTGACTCCCGTCTTAGCAATATCGCAGTGTTCCGAGATCTCAGAATATTAACCTGGTAAATATCGTATTTTTGTGACTGAAAGGAATCTGTCCAAAACTTTCAAAATAAGAGCATACATTGAATGTACTGTACTTGAATGATCCAGGAAGTGAGAAAAGAATTGGGCGCTATCAAACTTTTCTTCATCAGATCCTTTCCCAAGGTGTAGGACAGACATTCATCTGACACGTTGACTCTTTTTCTTTATCAGGATTATCACACCATAATAACATCCCCCATGGACTTGGGAACCATCAAGAAACGGCTAGAGAACAACTACTATTGGAGTGCAAGTGAATGTATGCAAGACTTCAACGCCATGTTCACCAACTGCTACATATATAACAAGGTGAGGGACTTTATTGTTGGAAGTGCAGCGTGCTGGTTTGCCTCACAGGAAATAAACCCACATGGATTTTCCTCTGTCCTCCTAGCCCACAGATGACATAGTCCTGATGGCCCTCGCCTTGGAAAAGGTTTTCTTGCAAAAAGTTACCCAGATGCCGCAGAGCGAAGTTGAGATTCTTCCTGCAGCCAAAGGGAAGGGCAAAAAAAGTAGCATTCCAGGTAATGAACTTAATGGTAACTGTACTTCACATGTTCCACATTCAAAAAGGTAACTCAGAGGCATTCAATAAACTACACATGGCACATTCATGTGGCAGCCAGGGGTCCCATGTAGGATATTTGTGTGCATGCTTCTGAGCACCTTGTACACAGGTAATTGTGATAAATGAACTTCACCACATGCTCTGCAGTAGGTCCAAACACTTTGTCAGGGTGCAAGAAGATGAGTCAGATTTGTGACATGTAGCTCCTACAAAAGTAAAGTTTATTAAATTAAAAAAGTAAAGACAGATCAAAGAATGCAATTGATTTTGTTATAAATGTCTGTGTAAGTGTGACTCCGTCTATTTCTTCTTTAACGTCCACTTAAACTGTGGAGCCAATTAAGCATAGTTGAGTCATGCTTTAATCAAAACTCTGCAGTCCACGTACTTCATTTCTAAATGTTTACTGAAGCTTTCTTCATGACAAACAAAATGATCAACAAAAAACAGTGACAAGCTAAATTTAACACGGTCAAAAACTAGTGTGCTCTCAGCTCCACTCAAAACCCTCTCCCAGCTAAACAAGCACAGGCAGCATCGCACATTGTCTGACCAATCAGAAGCCAGGGCTGACTGCAAACATTTTTAGTTGCAGTTGTGCAAAGTGCAGGAACATAAACACAGAGCTGCTCATTCTTGGAAAATAAGCACACAAAATAAACTATCCACAAATGGCATGAACCAATGCAGGCCCAGCTTTCTGTTCAACTGCTGTCTATGCCTGTATTCGCTTCAGTAAGAATCAAAGGTTTGCACCAAGATCTCCCATAAAATATATGCTTTTCCTCCATTTAGCCTTTGGCACTTCAAACACGTGTGCAGAACATTGTCAATGTCAATGTGGTTGTCTATCTTAGCATGCGTTATTGAGTAAGATGTGCATATTTCAGCCGGCATTAACGTCAGTGTCACCCCACTTCAGTGATCCGTTCAGCCAGCAGCGGTGTTTAGCTGCATCAGTAACCCTCATCTGTTTTCTTTCCATTTGAAATAACACCGTTCAGTGCTCCAACTCTACCGTGTCTTTTCGCTGTGGGTCTTCTAGTAAGGTTTAATTTGTATTTTAACATTTTTTCTCTTATCCTTTCATTTGTGTTAATACATGTATGCAGGTGGGCAAAATGGAACTGCAACCACATGTTCTTCACCTACAACACCCACATCTCAGCCAAGCCTCAGCTACACGTCTTCCAGCCCGTCCTCAATGCCCAAACAACCATCACAGACCCCCATAAAAGTGAGTCAGCATTTGTGTCTCTGACCCTCAGTCAAATTTCATATTATTTTAAAATCACAGAGCATGTAGAAGAATTCTGCCTTATTGTGTTTTTTGCCGATGCAGAAGAAAGGGCTGAAGCGGAAGGACGACTCCTCCAGTTTGGGTGATTTATCAGAGAGCAGGAGGAGACGGGGAAGCGCAGGCCGAGCCAATAATCCCTCTGACTTTGAAGAAACGGAGTTGCCACAACAGAAAAGTGAACAGGGCAGACTGAGCGAACAGCTCAAGTACTGCAATGACATCCTGAAAGAAATGCTGTCTAAGAAGCACGCAGCCTACGCCTGGCCGTTCTACAAGCCCGTCGACGCTGAAGCCCTGCAGCTACACGATTACCATGACATCATCAAATACCCCATGGATCTCAGCACTGTTGAAGTAAAAACTGTATATTTACATGTACAAATACATTTCCTCTGCGGTTCATCAATTTTTCATGAAGGATTTAGTCTTGACAACTTTTTAATTTTCAGAAAAAGATGGAAGGAGGAGAGTACCAGGACGCACAAGGCTTCGCTGCAGACGTTCGGTTGATTTTTTCTAATTGCTACAAATACAACCCTCCACATCATGATGTTGTCACCAAAGCCAGAAAACTTCAGGTGTGTTTTGAATCATTACCTGTAATAGTTCAAGAATTTAAAAAGTCTTACTGGACTTTAGGATTAGTTTTGTTCTATTTCACTCGATTCTACTTTCACCGTGTGTTCGCTTCAGGGTGTGTTCGAGAAGAGGTTTGCGAAGATGCCAGACGAGCCGGTGGAGTTGATTTCACTAATGAGTGCCGTTAAGAGTGCAGGTTTTAGTGGGATTAGTGCCAACAGCTCTTCCAACTTGGACAAATCAGACTCTGCAGAGGAGCGTGCCACCCGCCTTGCTGAGTTGCAAGAACAGGTGGGTGCAGAACAGGTAGGTTTCTACACAGATCTCTAACTCAGAGTCTTGTTATTTAACCCCATTGTCTGCTACTGTAAACCGGTTTCTCAGACAGACTCTGCTTTGCACCACCCCTGTTTTCTGATGGATTCATTGACCTCCTGTTCAATGATCTATTGAAGTTTTGGCTTTCTTTACAAATGCTAGCGTTGCTTACACGCACAACCTTCTGTATGCTGTAACATAAATAAAAATATACATATAAAAAAAACTATATACATATAAAAAAACTACATAACTCTATAAACTATATATATATATATATATATATATATATATACACACACACAATTGTACACCATAGCCACCCTCTCATTGTCATAAATGAAATGGCTTCTATTAAAATAATGCTTCATACCTTTGTGTATCCATTCTTAACTTTTACATGTTAAGATGGTAATAGACATAAATTAATCAGTGACAGATCAATTCATCGAACATTTTCATTTTTTAAATTTTCCATTGTTAAAGTCTAACCAGTAATGTTGCCACTCTAGTCACAAACTTGTCTGCGAGGCAAAGCGTGAAAGTGGGCCCACTTGATGTCTATCCCGGTGTCAGCATGTTTTCCATCCAGCAGCTTCAGGTCTGCCCTTTCATTTCATTTTAACACAATGGGATCGCATGTAAACAAATACATGCACAATTACCGCGAGCGATTCGGTGTACGAACCTCTACCACAGCAGTGATTTGAACTCTACCTGGACCTTATGATAACCTTTACAAAAATATTCGTCTCACCTTATTCTCTGGCACTCAGATATATAGCAGGGAGAAATAGATGCATGAAGTATATCAGATGACGTGTTTTTTTTTCTTCTGACTCCTCTCAGTTGTTTGGAGAGGATATTGTTGGCCTTACAGTCATATGCCAAGCCTCCAAGTACCTAGAAACTACTCTCTGTCTCCTACTTATTCTTTGATTTCTTAGTGTTGCTATTTGTCTTGGCACTTTTTATTTAAATACCACATTAGCCCATATCTGTTGATTCTGCCCAGCTTAAAGCAGTTCATGAACAGCTCGCTGCCCTCTCTGAAGTCCCTGTGATTAAACCAAAGAAGAAAAAAGACAAGGACAAGAAAGAGGACAGCTGTCAAAATAAAAGCAGTACAAATTCCAGCTCCAGGTAGGAAGTTAAACATAGCTGAAGGACTCTATTTTTATAGGATCTCACTTCTGTGTAGACACCTTTGACTGCTTTGTTGTGGATTTCAGGCAGTTGTGGAAGAGAAGCAAAGACACGGATGATACAGATGATGAGTCTCTGCCGATGACATACGACGAGAAGCACCAGCTGAGCCTGGACATTAACCGGTTACCTGGCGGCAAGCTGGGCCGGGTGGTGCACATCATTCAGACTCGAGAGCCCTCGATGTGTGACACCAACCCAGAGGAGATCGAGATCGACTTTGAGATACTGAAGCCGTCCACTCTGCGGGAGCTGGAGCAATACGTGAAGTCTTGTCTGAATAAGAAGTTTAAGTCATTTCAAAGTAAGTATGAAGCTTTGCTGCCATCATCCTTATGGTTAGATTTGTGAAATCTGTGAATAAATAAACCCAGCTTTAATAGTTGAGCATTAATATATGAGCATATTTACAGTACAAACCTTGTCAGTCATGAGGGCAAAAAAAGCAACAACAAAAAACAACATTCAAAAACAAAATAATCGTTAGCCCTAAGCCCTAATTACAGTGCAATTTACACAAAATATTAAAATGTCATCAGCCCTTGTAGCATTTAATTTGGTGATGGTGCTTCCTTTACTTTCCTTCATCCAGAGAAAAGCAGTCAGGCTGCGCCTCATCATGTCAGCTGCAGCAGTTCTTCAGATTCTGCCACCAGCAGCTCCACCGACTCCAGTTCAGAAAACAGTGACTCGTGACGACTGTAAAGTTTCTATTTATTGCTTCTTTAGTTACCAAAAGAGAGTTCTTAAAAACTGTTAAACATGCTTATTTTTGTATTTTGCTATGTGTTCAATATGTGAAAAATTAAACTTCCCTCACACAGTCTTTGTTGTCACTGTTGGCTTTTCTCACTCCTTCTTCTCTCTAAATCGCAATATCCGCCACTGGAGTTTGTTATCAGACATTATAAATTGTTCACAACATAGCTGGATGGCATGCGGCTGGGCAAGGGCGCATTTCATAACATCTGAGGTTCAACCAATATCCTGTCTGTGTCATTCATTTTTTGTCCATACAGTTTAATTATAGCATAGGCCTTTTTCAAATGCATCATAGAAATGCAATGTGATACTCTTAAACATCCAATTGTTGCCCTAGACAGCTCTCGATAGCACCTGTTTGAGTTGTGAGTAGGACCATGTAATAATAGATGATCTCAGTATGTATAAGAAGAAGATAATTTCTACCGTAGCACATGATTATAAACAGAAAGATAAAGGATTATGTTGAAAAGAACAAAGGACCTCAAGCAAGCTGCAAGTTTATGAAGTGGATATTGATGGTTTTATGGTGTTTGGAATTCTGACACATTTTCTAAAAATTAGTTATCCCTAATTGGAGGAGTTCTTTAACTATCTAGCGCTGGTCTGAATGGGGGGAAAATGCATGTATGTTTTTTGTTTGTTAGCATTTGTAAGCAGCATACATATCTGATAAATAGTTTCTAACACACTATAATGTATTATAGCCGTCAGCAGATATATGGTCTTTTTGTTGTTGTTGTTTTTATTGATGTAATTGTCAACAGCTTCAACTCTTTCTGTGAAGTAGCCAATCTTTCCTGAGTTGGCTGGTCATGTTGCCTGTTTCATAGTGAACGTGCTCTAGAAATTTAAATTCTGTCAGTGAATGTTTATTTGTCACTCCAGTCAAAAAAGGTAGCATTGAAATAGTACGACTCCGTGCCTTTTTGTGTTTTAACAGTCACTGTGATCTCCAGCATGACAGATGTTTTGTTGGGCTTCTTTCTCAACAATTTTCCAAGTGGCAGGTATTAAGGGAAGTTTAAGGTATACTTCCCTCAAAAAATGTGCCTAATAGATGCGACTTTCGCTAAGCCATTGGCTTACATTAAAATGTTTGCTTATCAGTTGTAACTCTTTGCAGGTCTGTCTTGCTCCGCTATGAAAATAAGACTCTATAATGAAGAATGCTGTGTTCTGTTTAGCACTTGATGCTCAAAGCAGTTAATGTTCAACCTAAAATTTTTTACATCTAAAATGTTTATTTTGTTATATTTCTTGATCACTGTTGTCCGTGCTTATTGTTCCAAACAGTCAATAAACGGTTTAACAATTCCGCTGACTGACTTCTGTGAAGGGCCACAGCACCACTGTTTTGCATGTTGCATGCAGTCCATTCATTAAAAGTTACCTGAAGATGAAGCGTTTTACAGTAATTGTGTAGTTCCCTCCGTCCACGCTACTTAACACTATGGTATGAAAGACAACTTTGAAACTTGGGATCAGTAAGTCATCAAAATGAACATGTCTTCTGTAATTAATGTCACCCACAGTTTTGTTGCATGATGATAATAATACAGTGTTGACTGCTTTATGTCATTCAAGTCTTATAACAATGTTACCATGTGTTACGTCCCACCCTTTGGTGGCAACATGGGACGAACAGCATAACCATAATCCAACCATAATGTAATTTAAATAAAACATAAGAATAACGCCTGAATAATTCGTCCTGAATAATTAACTATTTGGTAGCTGTTAATATAAAATGACTCAGTTTTAACCTGGGGTGAGACTCTTCCAGTATGTTTGGTTTATTTTTTTGTTAATCAAAGTAGTTTATATAACAGAACAGGTGTTAAATACCCTTAATATCATGCCCTTCAGCAAACAGTATGCGCCACAGTGACAGAAAGCCCTCTTGCCTGAAACATTTACTCCACTTTCAGCTGGCCTGCCAACTCCTCTGCAGAAACTGGCACGCACCCAACGCTGACCAGTTCAAACAGCTGGTGCCTCCTACACTCCATCGCCTCTTGGTGCTTAACTTCTTCCAATAAGGGCTCGAAGCACTAGAGATGTGTAGACAGTCAGGGTCGTTTGTGTGAGAGGTCCTAAGCAGAGAGCCGATGAGAGCACAGAAGCTGGATGTCTGTGGCTCAACACTGCTTGCAGTTCAGTAATCAACCAGGAGATGGCCATCATGCACTACCCTCGGCTGTATTACGACTTATGGCATCCCTTTTGCTTTCAAGAAAATGCTGCAGTTCCAATGGGTTATTTTAGCCTATATTCTATGCAGTTTTGTTTTATCATTTGTCAGTACATTTATAAGAGAAATGCAGCTTAAAGTGATTTTTTTATTGAGAGAAAACTATTGAAACCTAGTTTTAAGAAAGAACAGATGAGATACATTCTCTAGGTCCCTTAGTATACTAAAGGCCTTTTTTTTTAATATAACAGTGTGAAAGGGTATTTAAGTGCTTCCACACCAGCACTTGAGATAGATTTTTTTTTAAGAAGCTCCAACTGCATGCACACTGTGGGGCCGTTCATTATTTACACTTTTCCCCCACCCAGCTTACCTCGCTGTCCATTCACTGTGCATGTTGCAGGGAGATGTGCTCTTTGTGACCTGCATTCCCATCGTGCCACATAGAACATGCCCCTCCCCATGGCATTGATTGATCAGTGCCACTACTTAAATGACAACTATTCATTTCTGCCACGTCCTGCCATCACTCACACAACACATGAATCCAATGTTAAAAAGACCACACACACATTATGCAACTCTCCAGACACGTCACACAAGTCCAGGTTTACTTTGATTAATGGAACTCTGGTTTTCATTTTCTTTTCACCACCATGTAGGAGAACATTCAGGAAAAAATAAAGACTCAGTGAATGTGGCGATGCCAATTTGGATCAAGATGTGTTGAATGAACTGCACATATGCACTTTTGTTCCATAAACGATTTATGCTAATGTTACATATCAGTAATTCTTAATTGCAACGTAGCTGATACTATGCTCAATTTGTAACAAAATATATGGTTGTTATTAATCTATTTTAAAACCATTACTTATCCAAGATAAATGGCTGAGTATGTTATTTTGCAGCACTGCACATTCACATACAGTAGCTATGTACTGTACATACAGTATATTAACTTCTGGGAGCTACCCAGGACCATAAGCTTATAGTCAGCACAATCACTGGATCAGCTGGTTTTCCTAAGGCTCCCTTCAGATGCTGAAAAAAGGTTCACACCCCCAATCCCAGCAGAGTGGATTTCATTTTTATCAATCATTAACAATGTAGCCAATAATAAACTAAATATTCACGTTAGCAAAGTAGCCTAGCTATCAACCGAACACTTTTGTTTATTTATGTCACCACATGAATCATATTCATGCAACCTAAGGCCTGCTTAACATCCAAGCCCCCCTGGAGCGGTTCAGTTGGACAACCACTGAGCTAGGGCAACCTGGTCAAAACCCTGTCTTTCTAACCTTTAAGCCACTTACATTATCATTTAGGTTAAATGTGTCGCCCAGTTCTTCTGCTGTCTGTTTTCATTGAATGCTACCTGTTGGTGTTCAGAAAAGTGCATGAAGGAATTACTGTTGCACTTTAAAGAAAAAGCCACGTTATTATTATATTTTGACCTTCACTTATCTGTCTCGACAGGATTAACAGAGGACATATGCTTTCTTCTTCATTTTTCAAACTTATACAGCTGTGTATACAAATTGTTATAACACTAATCAGTTAAATCATAGTTTGGTACAGTTGGCAACTGCAAAGTTCTGAAACTGTGACGGGTTAAGATCCTTTCTCTTCAGATCTGAGGATAGGAACAAGCAACTGCTTTCTCTAAACTCTGAGCTAATGCTACTTTTTTTGTGTTGGATTTTTTTCAACTTGCTCTGGCACTGGTGTGAGCGGGGCAGCACAGTTTCCCCCAGAAAAAAAGGCCTGCTTATGGATTTATAAGCCATATTTTAGGCTGATGGGGCCGTTCAAAAGGTCTTTAAAGGTTAAGTGATCTCATGGCTCCATCGGCCAAACTCAAAGAACATTTGTACATCACAGAATGCATTGTGCAAAGGTCATTATCAACAGCAATCCACCCAGCTCCGCCATTTTTATATGCCGGAAGATTACAGAGCTTTGTCAGAGTTAGGTCAGGTTTTAGTTAACCATTAAGAGTTCAGGACTGGTATAATCTTAAATCAGTGGTGCATTAAAACATAGCTTCCTCTCAAAATTACAGTAAGTCTTGTATTTGTCTGCTTACTATATTTCTTGAAGGTTGGGACCAATGCAAGTATAGGAATAATAATAGTAATAGCTTTATTTGTATAGCACTTTTCAATGCAGGTAACGACGTGCTTTACAACAATCAATATAAAACATAAACAGGTCGAATAAATTTTTTTATTTCACAGTGGGTTACAACAGTGTATAAAACATAAACAAGTCAGTGTAGATATTAAGGAGATATACATCACGCATCTCACTGTGAAAGCCATTTTGTAGAAGTGCGTCTTGAGAAGTTAGATGAAACCAGGAACATACTCTGCAAGCCTAATCTGCTCTGGTAGATTGTTACAGAGTGTAAGGGTCCCTGACAGCAAAGGCCCTGTTTCCTTTGGATTTTGGCCTAGACTGAGGCCTAGATTTCTGACTGAGACAGGTATATAGGGAGTTACAATTGTCAAGGCAGGAGGAGATAAAAGCATGGATGAGTTTCTCCGGATCTGTTGCTGAAATAAAAGACCTTGGCTATACATTTCTCAAATGATAAAACCACAAGGGATAAAATCTCCAAATGCCCATACTGCATGCTCTGTAGATAAAGATTGTATGTTTTGTGGGGTCTTATCCTGATGTCCAACAGCACCCATGTAAACTTATCCATGATTTTTGGTCTGCTGGTAGGTAAATGTGATTAAACCTTGTGGCCCAAAACCCTGAGGTGATTTCTCCATATCCCTACAAACTCTGCAAATATTGGGTATAAGGCTTTTCTGTCTGGGTGTTAAATTGTTTGACCATTAATGAAACAGGACAATGTCAAACAGGACATCAGTTAGATTCTTATGGCCGGCAGCCATCACGGGAAAAGTTGATGCCTAAGTGAAGATATAGATGAATCCCCCACTCTGCAGTCAGAGGTGTCTTAAGGCCAGCAGGTGCATAAGAGAGTGGGTGCGCCAGAGAACTTGAATTGATCTGTTTAATGTCAGTGAAAACCTAGTCCATGTCAGCTAAGCAATTGATTGTCAGCCTGGAGGGCCTACTCTTGAGAGGCTCATTCTCTGGATAATTGCAGGGGGAAGAAGTGATGCTTTCACTCCCTCCTCGTGGAGGACTCTGTTGGTATGAGGTCATGGGTAGTACCAAACAGCAGCGAGTATTGTCTCAGATAAAAGGATGGTAAACTTTTTGGTTCCGCTGCTGTAGTTCAGTTATATGGTTTGTAAAACATCTTGTGTGTTGAATCTCTACCCGCTCATGACTCCAAGTGGAGTTGTAACATTTGGGTGGGAGGCAATTTTTTACTGGGAGGCCAGTCCCAAACCAAGCAGCACAGGTGGCTGATGAATAAGATGCATCCGACACTGGTAGGCAAAACGTCCACAAAACTCATGTCCGTTTTAAAGAGCTGCCATTATAGTATTTTTATAATTTCAATGTGTCAGCTTGTACATGTTCTTCATGTATAAATCCAGCTTTGCAGTCTTTAAAAATCCTCTTTCAGATACAAAAAGAAGCACAGAACACCACACTTTGCTGTGCCGTTCTATTTTACAATTGGCGATAAATTTGCCAAATGTGTTACGTCCCTGTGGAAATCTGAAGGTGGCAAGGGACGATGATGACTGAGTTGAGAAAGTAATGAGACATGACAAAGAGGATTTAACAAGAAACAGGTGGTATATTGATGTTAATGACGATGAAGTGATTAATTGACCAAGCATTAGATTATTTTATTAACAAGGACTGACATTGGGAAATCTAAGGAAGAGGAAAGAGATTGGGAAAGGAACAAGAAGTGTACAAAATAAAAGTATCCAAACAGCAAAAGGCAACTAGAAAGAAAAAATATAAAATAACACGCAAAAAAGTTGTTTTGAGTGACAGTGGCCAGGGATTAGGTCAGTATTCATAGACAACATGAATAGTTGTAGAGGGCATCTGGGATCAAGGTGTGTAGATGATTGCATTTAGAGTGAAAGGAAGAACAAAGGTAAGGAAATGTGATTTTTTTTAAGCCTTTTTAAGACTCCATTTGGGAGTAGTGGAAACAAGCCATAAAAGCAACACTGACATAACTGTTAAATTTATATGGCAAACAGTTATTTACAAATCAGGCAGATATAAAGCAACATTAGCATAGTATGGAGTTATTTTAGTGACCGCACAAACTCAGACCCCTTCTATTCTTGTCAGAGATGAGTGCCTCTGATTTGGAACTGAATTTTGAATTCCACCGAAACTCCACTGAAATTGAAATAATACTCAAAAGTTGAAAGCAAGTTTCAAACCATTATATTCAATTTCAATCTGTAAAATGCAATTTTAAATTTTGCATACAACATTCATTTCAAACATTTCAAATTCAAAACCTTTTGCGCTGACAGTAAAAAAACTTTATATTCTAGCCACATGATGAAAGTCCAACATTCACTCTCCTTTGAGCTTTGTTTTGCCCTCCCCCAAATCCTGGGGGAAATATCAGTTTTTTGGCTGCTAAATGATCCACAATGTTCCCTAACCAGTCTCTATCTTTGTCTGTCTGCCATTTAATGCTGGGGAGGTGGAGTATGGTGTTTTTTCTGTAGTTTTTGTGCTGAAAACAGCTGCTTCCTGTGTCTGAAAAGGATGCTGATGAGAGCAGAGAGAGTCAACCAAGTGAAGCTGCTGACAGTGAAACCCAAACAATTAGCTGGGAGATGGTGAACCACTCCATAGAGCTGCAGAGACCTGCAGGGTTGTCACTATGAGCAACCCCCTTCACATAGTCATTTGATCCATTGTTAAAATAAAACATATTGATTATAGCAGCGTTAATACATGTTATCTTACTGTGCAGAGAGGTCAAGGTTGTACAAGGTTGTGTGAAGACCTGTTGTTTAAACCAGCCTTTGTAAAACTTGGAAAATAGCCTGCATCAGCCAACAAAGTGTAATATGCCGTTCCACAGCATGGTAGGAAATGCACAGGTGTTACTAATAACATTTTGATGTCTCCATTATATTTAAGTGTCCCAGTAAGCCATAACAGTGTGACGGTGAGCCAACGTGCATGATACCAGGGCACTGAAGCTAAGCAGCTAAATGGAATTCAGCCATCATTAATTGTTTTACTTCACTAAGCTTTTCACAGTGGCATGTGTAAATGTCTTCTGTGAAAAAAAGACCTATTTGTGAAAATACAAATGTGGTCTAAAATATGCCACTTTCAAAGTGTTGGCCCAGACTTTGTGGCATCACCAAAAAGGAAAGTATGATGGAGCAAGTCCTGACAAGCCAATCACATTTTTCAGTAGCGGAGTGTGGAGAGCATTTCCAACTATGGTAAATGTAGCGGCTTGTGTGGTGTGTTTTTATGATACTTAACCTAACCTGCACCTTAATTGACACCTACCCCCCTCCAAAAGAACCCCACCACCACCACCACCCCGAAATTAAATGTATTTTAAATAAGTGTGCTGACAATTTCACATTGTTAGTTGATTTAAAGAAAATCTGTACTATTGTGAAGACCACATGGCTCTCACCATGAGAATACATTGAACAATTGTCTCAATATATGAGAACAACTGACCTAGACAATATCACTTTTACTGTTAGTACAGTGGTCTCATGGAATGATCTCATGGACGATCACCTAAAAGTAAAAACACCTGTGATGCTCTGTAATGTCATACCTGTTTTAATACCTGTTTGTATCTGAGGGTGTGTTGTGGTGAGGTTCATAATTACATTGTTGTTGTGATTTGGCGCTATATAAATAAAATCGTATTAAACTGAGTTAAAGGGGCACTCCAGCGATAAAGTATTGCACTTAATGGCGGGACTTGCAAGAGACAATATTTAAAATTAAAAAGGTAAAAATAAAGGCAGCGGGGGCGGACATATCATGACTTTTTAGTTTCTAGTGTAGGCCAAGCTTCAAAAACAGTGGATCCTACCTTTCCCATAATGCAACTCAGTAGTGCCTTTTAGTTATACACTCTTTTCCTGGTAAATGCCAACATATTTCATAATGCTGGCTTTCTGTAAAATATTTGGCTGCACACTTGCTGTGACTGATTTTGACAATAATCATCAGAAAACATTGTTTTATTATAATCAAGTGAATACTCACTTTATATACTTTAATACTACTTTACCAGAGAAATATTCCCTAATCTCATATAATCACACGAAAGCTGTCATTATGAAGAGGTGGCACTGCACTTAAGGCATGAAATTAGTTTAATTGTGTGTTTTGTTTGAACTATCCCTTTAATCATCTTGTTTCAGCAGCCCGTGCAGTATGCGCTGCATCCGTCAGAGGGCGCGTCCACAACTGCCAGTTCAAAAATATTCCCTGAAAGTCACATTCTTGGAGTATGGAGCCACTTTAACAAAAGTGTGGACGCACCGCTCAACTCTTTAGCTCGTGCATGAGATAATCAGCACATGCGAGCTCGTTCAACCTCCCGGGTGAGCACCGAGCGAGAAGCCCTGGGACGCTTTCTCCTCGGGATTTGTGCGGCTCGGCTCGGGAGTTGGGGGGAACCGTAAAACATCCCCGTCCGAAAGGGGAACGAGGAGAGGGAGACGCGAGACAGGGAGGACACGAGCGGAAGGGAGGCGGAAATCACTGAAAAGCAAAGCTGTGTACACACGTAACGCTATTTTTGGGCGTGCGTAAAGGCGCAAAACAAAGTAACGTTAACCGGATAAATGTAAACATTGATATGTATTTTCCCCTGGACATGTTTCCGCTCCGGGAGAACGTTGTTTAGACTGTGTTGTGGGAAGAGGGTGATCCTGGCGCTGTAGAAAGACTGCTCTGTGTATTATCTCCTCTTCATTGTTTGCGCTGGAAATTACGGGAAGTTCTGGTTTTCTACGTTTAACTTTAGAGGAAACGTAAAATGCAAATGCGGTAGGTGACTCCAGGCTTTGGTTCATCAACTAAACAGACTTGAAACGCCGTTTTCCACCCCTCCACATTGTATAGCTGGGCTGTGCTGGTCCACCGAAATGTGAGACAGCAGTGGAGTCGACACTTGACAAACCGCTACATCCAGCTGTTATATTAGCCACAATTGTAACCCTTCATTCACGCCTTTTGGATATGCTAAAGAAAGTTTTTAAGAATGAAGAGAAGAAAATTCCCATAGTCCGTCTCTGCTTTCAGGTTACATCGCTGCCGTCTGCTGAACGGGATCTGTTGAAACGGTGTTATTATTTTAGTCTTATTATTCACGCCTTCATCATTTCCATGTTGTGAAGACAGCGGAGCTGCCATGCGCCCAGGATGGGGATTTAGTGTGGTGACCTACTGCGATTAACTTACAGTTGTGAAATTGCCTGATCATCTTGCTGATAGTGAATGATTAAGAGCCCCGGCGCGGGTAGGGAACCGACAGTAGTGCCTGCGTGCGCGCCGTGAGCCACCGCTTTCAGCCCGCTGTGTGAACCAGTTCGTGGACTCGGTGACTTTGTGAGGAGAGTCTCGGGAGCCGATATGGAGGAGTGGAGACAATGCGGGCGGTGGTTGATAGACTGCAAGGTCCTGCCCCCGAACCACCGGGTCGTGTGGCCCTCGGCGGCCGTCTTCGACCTGGCACAGGCCCTGCGAGACGGGGTGCTCTTGTGCCAGATGTTGCACAACCTCTCGCCGGGATCAGTGGACCTGAAGGAGATAAATTTCAGACCCCAGATGTCACAGGTGAGTCGGCTTCGGTGTAAACTTCAAACAAGCATAGGATGGGTTGATTGACCCATCCAGGCTATGTATTGTGTTTGCGCATACACTCTTGCATTGATCTGCTTCTCATTCACACCGTGGGGCTGCCTGCGTTGCCTTGTTTGTTTGGAGAGCAATACTAAAGTTTTTCCAGTTGGCCCACAGATTTTTAACCAGAAACCTTCCTGTCACAACAAGTCCACTTCTTGGCCCCTGCCCAGCCACTATCAGTGTATCTGTGATAATACAGCAATTTAGTAGATGCTCATGGTGCATATGGGTGCTAGGTAACACATGCAGGGTCCATTCAGGTTTGCACAGGTGAAGGAACAAGGTGCCAGGGTTGGTTGCCTACTGGCAGATCTCAAGATGATCATGTCTCCAGAACAGTTTTTCCTTGGCTTCCTACAAAGAAGTGTAATATTGTTAAACGCACTCCAGTAGCAGCCTTTGCACTGCAACCTTTGTAAGATTGTCTCATTCTCATTCAGGTCATCAGGAATGTCACATATGCCGGTGAAATGAAGCTGAGTATAATCCAGTCAGTCTTGTTCTGTGTGGAAGGGACCAAAAATAATCTGCTGAAAGAAGAGAATGTGATCAGTCCAGCCCTAGATTAAATCATATAAAAAAAATTTTTTTTAATAAAGAGGCAGGTGTGGCAGCGCAAAGTTTAGCTGCCAATGTTCTTAATTTAGTTAACCCCACCTGTTTGGTGCCAGCCGTTTAAACCCAAAGCTGAGGACTGTTTTGCTTTTAAATGTTACCCCACGTCGTATCGCAGAAGAGTAGGAGGGAAAAGACAAACTGAAGTTTACTGTAAGTCCTTTGGGGAGAATCTCAAAGAGGAATAACCCGCCTTGGTGTGTAGTTAAGACTCCAACATAACACAAGTCTACATGGTGGTATGATTAGAGGTTTGGATTGTCACACGCCTCAGTTTATATAAAGCTCGCCTCGCCACTCCAGCTCATTCATGCTCCCAAAGTCAGTATGAGTGAGTGTCGGGTGCCACAGGAGTTTACATGACCACAGCAGCGGAGCAAATGTATGCTGTGGCAAACATTTCTGTTGACCTTTATTCACCATGTAGCCTGGTCTGAAGTACCACTAAGCCTCCATTAGTGTATGATGAGAAGTGTGGGCATTGGCACTGTGTATAGATCACGGTTGCCCGCATGCAGGCTGTGTTCGATTATTCTCATAGTCATGCCCACAGAAGCTGAAACTGCCATCACACCAGAGTGATTGCCCTCTGACAGCACATTTGTCTGATGTTCTTGGCACACCTTCCGTGACCCGTTTCTGTCATAATAGTGTGGGAATGTGTGTGTATTGCGTCTGTCTGCCTGGCTTTTAGTCTGTGTTGCTGGCTTCGTCTTTCTAATACAGTTTACCTTTAAGTTTCAAGTAATAGTAAGTCCGAGAGTTGATCAACAGAAAATGGAACGACTACAACTTTGGTTAATAGATTAACCCTGAGCAAGCAGCAGAATACAGATTGAGAACGGGGTTTGTGATGTTATTTGGGACGGCATCCAGCTGAATACTCACACAACCCAGACAAATCGCCTAAAAGCACAAAGCCTCAGGATTTTATCTCCACTAAGCACAACGGTAAAATAAACAATATGCTTATTATAGGTGAGAAAAAGGCTTCTGTAAATGTGTTTCCATATCATGTGGAATAGTTTTGACTTTTTGACATCCAATGCAGAAGAGTTGGCCTTCCCGAAGAGGCCAGGGTAATTAAAACGGGTCAAGCACAAAAATCTTTGAAGTCATTTACCAAGCAAAATGCCAGATATTCGCTGGTACCTGCTCCTCAAATGTGAGGATTTGCTGCTTTTTGGACAAAAAAAAGTTAACGTTGCGCTATGGGAACATGTGATGGGATTTTTTCATGGACTAAGTGCTAAAAAGTAATTGTCAGATTAATCACTGAAAATAAACATTAGCTGCAGCTCTAGTCTCTCTCTCTCTCTCTCTCTCACTCTCTTTGCCTAGTAACCACCAGTAGCCTCGACTTATCAGCTCCAGAAGCTACTGACTTCCATGATTACAAGACGAGAGAGATGTCTGGATGGCACGCTTTGATCCGCCCACTAATCCCATGCTCCCAGTTCCAGTGTGTGAATCTGCAGTGAGAGTGGAAGGGGTGTCCTCCCAGACAAATTGGGTTAAACTAAATCCTGGCAGCAGGACAGTAGTATGTGATTTATGATAAGGGAAAGGTCAGGCCGCATGTGCTTTAACACCCAGAACACACAGAGACTTCATTTAGCTTAGCCAAAGGAAGAGGAGGTTCAGCAGAGTGATTACGTTATTTGCTCACAACAGACATTTCTCTTCACCCCAAATGGATCCACTTGCATGGAGATTAATAGTTTCAGAAATTGAGTTTTGTCTCTGAATATGCCTCACTGTTAAACAGTCATAGTATCTTCAGATATTTTTAACACAGGGAGTAGGTGTTAACAGAGGTAATGATGCTGTGTGACCTGCATCAGAATGGGGCTTTTGGTGAAAGAGTAACATTAAGTCAAAAGGGACGTGCTTCTCCTTTTTCAAGTGACCCACTGATTCTGTTCAGTTGCTGCTGTTAACAGGCTCTAATCACAATAATGCTTTATACTTTGGCACTGATCCCAGCTTGTGCTCCAGTGCATAATCACTGTGTTTTAAGTGTATTCTGTAGAGAGAAGTCACTGTAGCAACACTGAGGTCATGCTGTATTTTTCTGTAAGGCATTTTTTTTTAGTAAGTGTCCTTAAAATGGCACATGAGCAATCACCGAATCTGTGATTGTAATGCCACATTGTTAAGTGCACCCACCAACCACAAATTTTTCTACATTACATTTTTACGATTCGACATTTGAATGTTTTGATGGTGGGTGTTTTGGCACGTGCTTTGAGACTGGAAAGGTTCTCCACGTCTGCATTGGTATTTCGTGCAGAAACGCTGAGTAAATTAATTGAATAGTTGGTCAACAGACTTTTTCATAATCGATAGAATGTTATTTAACATGTGCCGGTTCCTTCTTCTCAAATGTGAGCATTTGCTGTTTTTCTTTGATTTATTTCGCTGAACACGGAATATCCTTGTTCTGGACTGATAATGGGACAAAACAAAGAACTTGAAGGTGCAAGCTCTGGTGACTCTGTGAACTTAAAATAGTTTCTGATGACCTTTTATGGTTTTTGGACATTTTTCTAAACAAAACAACTGAAAATAATCATTCGCCTTAGTGCATTTCCTCCGGCAGGCAAAAGACATGTACAGTAGGTTCGGTGAACTGACCCATAAATTGCCCGTAGGTGGGAATGTGAGTGTGGCTCTATGTGTCAGCCCTGTGATAGCCTGGTGACCTCTGGGATCAATCCATCCCCCTGTGATGTTTAACAGAATTGAACAAGGATGGAAGTAACTGTGAATACACCACACGATCAGAATAAGTCATTCAAACAACTCTATAAACATTTGACATTTGCTATTAAGAAGTGAGTAAAATGTATAAAACTCTGGACTGCCTGTGAAATAATACAAACCAAATTGGCACCTTACTTGAGCGAAGCTGAAAGGTGACTTACTGAAGTCTCTGCTTGACTTGCAGGTGTGAATGTGTCTGTAATAATGGCATAGAAATGAGGAAGACGACCGCCAAATCAGCACCCAGCAGAACTGGACTGAATAAATAATGGTTGAAAATGTGCATTCGAGTGGCTAAAAGGGGAAATGTCCATTCAAGCATTCTTCCAGTTCAGAGTGGGGAAGTCACACAGTTCATTTTGATATTCATGAAGTAAATTATAAGCACTGAACTGTATATACAGACAATAAAAATGACGTTGACATAATGCTACAGCCTTTACATTCACCAGATTTCAATCAGAAGAATCAGAATATAAGAATATTAAAAGAATAAAGAAAAATAATATATATAATATATATATATAAAACAACAACGATTAACAATTAACAACAAATATATACAATGTGCCAGGTTTGTGCATGATATAAAATTAAGTAAAATGTCCAGTTTCCAGCTATGGAATCCAGTTTAACACCTATGGAATATTTTGGACCAACGTGTAAGACAAGGCTCTCCCCCACCGTTTCCATAACACCAAATAATACATCTTCAAATCTATGTAGTGATGCTTCTGGTGCTATTTATCATTTTGTTATGTCTGGCTGTGCTTGTTTTTCTTTCTATCTGTTGTACTCAGGTCTCTCCTGCAAAAGAGATCTTGATCTCAGTGAGATTACCTCATTAAATAAAGGTGGTGTCTATACATGAGGGACTATCTCTTGGAGGAATGGTGTTCATACCGCCAATAGAGTTTCCCAGACTGTTCTGGGGGCTTGTGGTGGCCTTATTGCATACTAAGACACTTCATGTTGGTTTTTCCTTCCATTTATCAAACATATGTACACGTGAAGTGTTAAACAAAAATGTGTGTGACATCTGAAGTAACTGTAGCAGTGTGTGTTTCAGTATTAATATCATGGCAACAAATGGTAACAGATGGTTTGTTGTGGCGAGCGTCAGAGAATTGCCACCCAAAAGAGGGAGAAGAAGAGGAGATTTAGCAATTTTCATGTTTTTGTTTATGTTTCAGTGTGGCCAACGAACATTTGGAAAATTATGTGAAGTTGTTTTCTCATGTAAACTGTGGGTTCAGATTTATTATTTATTTTGGGGAGCGGAGGAGGCGAAGTATTTCTTGCAAAGAAGCTGTCAAGATGACCTTCATTGAGGCGGTCAAATAAATCCCTGATTGTATTCTAAAAGCATGGCGAGGCTTTCCTCTTCACCTCAAGGTCGTAAATGGATGCTTAATGAGCTCTGGTGTTTGGATATGCTTTGCAGCTCAAAGTGTACATATGAAGAATCCAGCGCCTCAGGCTGCGTCTGAAAGACAAGACAGAGCCATGCCCTCTGAAGCCTGTTGTGTGTTCTGTAGTGTTTTTTTTTT